TGTTTAAGGCAAATCAGGTTTGTTTGTATTACACAACCTTGTAAGCTCACAGTTCAACATATTGTACTTGAACAGAGCATAAGAACAGAGAAAAGTTTAATATACAGGTGCTGGTCATAAAATTAGAATATCATGAAAAAGTAGATTGATTTCAGTAATTCCATTTAAAAAGTGAAACTTGTATATTATATTCATACATTACATACAAACTCATATATTTCAGATGTTTATTTTGTTTAATTTTGATGATTACCCAAAATCCCAAATTCATCATATCAGAAAATTAGAATATTACTGAAGACCAATAAAAACAAAGGATTTATAGAAATGTTGGCCAACTGAAAAGTATGAACATGAAAAGTATGAGCATGTACAGCACTCAGTATTTAGTTGGGCCTCCTTTGGCCTGTATTACTGCAGCAATGCGGCGTGGCATGGAGTCGATCAGTCTGTGGCACTGCTCAGGTGTTATGATAGCCCAGGTTGCTCTAATAGTGGCTTTTAGCTCTTCTGAATTGTTGGGTCTGGTGTATTGCATCTTCTTCTTCACAATACCCCATAGATTTTCTATGGGGTTAAGGTCAGGAGAGTTTGCTGGCCAATTAAGAACAGGGATACCATGGTCCTTCAACCAGGTACTGGTAGCTTTGGCACTGTGTGCAGGTGCCAAGTCCTGTTGGAAAATGAAATCTGCATCTCCAAAAAGTTGGTCAGCTGCAGGAAGCATGAAGTGCTCTAAAACTTCCTGGTATTGGCTGCGTTGACCCTGGACCTCAGAAAACACAATGGACCAACACCAGCAGATGACATGGCACCCCAAACCATCACTGACTGTGGAAACTTTACACTGGACTTCAAGCAACGTGGATGAAGTGCCTCTCTTCTTTTCCTCCAGACTCTGGGACCTTGATTTCCAAAGGAAATGCAAAATTTACTTTCATCATAGAACATGACTTTGGACCACTCACCAGCAGTCCAGTCCTGTTTCTCTTTAGCCCAGGCAAGACGCTTCTGACGCTGTCTGTGGTTCAAGAGTGGCTTGACACAAGGAATGTGACAGCAGAAACCCATGTCTTTCATACGTCTGTGTGTGGTGGTTCTTGAAGCACTCACTCCAGCTGCAGTCCACTCTTTGTGAATCTCCCCCACATTTTTGAATGGGTTTTGTTTCACAATCCTCTCCAGGGTGCGGTTATCTCTCTTGCTTGTACACTTTTTTCGACCACATCTTTTCCTTCCCTTCGCCTCTCTATTAATGTGCTTGGACACTGAGCTCTGTGAACAGCCAGCCTCTTTAGCGATGACCTTTTGTGTCTTGCCCTCCTTGTGCAAGGTGTCGATGGTCGTCTTTTGGACAACTGTCAAGTCAGCAGTCTTCCCCATGATTGTGTAGCCTATAGAACTAGACTGAAAGACCATTTAAAGGCTTTTGCAGGTGGTTTGAGTTAATTAGCTGATTAGAGTGTGGCACCAGGGGCCATCAATTTTTAACCTTTTCACAATATTCTAATTTTCTGATATGATGAATTTGAGATTTTCATTTGTTGTCATTTGTAATCATCAAAATTAAACAAAATAAACATCTGAAATATATGAGTGTGTATGTAATGTATGAATATAATATACAAGTTTCACTTTTTAAATGGAATTACTGAAATCAATCTACTTTTTCATGATATTCTAATTTTATGACCAGCACCTGTAATAGATGCAGGTAGAAAAGAGTTAGACAACAACCATGAAAGCAATGTTCTCTCTGAATATTGTTTACATAGAGCAGTCTAGTAACTCCAAACAAATAAAGTAGTTTTTTTTTTACCTTGATTTAAAACCAAGAACCTTTTCGCTGCAAGGCAACAATACTGTAAACTACACCACCATGCAGCCAACAATTTCTGACCTAAACATGGACAAGTAAGAAAATTCAATTCAATTCAGCTTATCTATAAAGTACCGAATCACAACACATGTCATCTCAAGGCACTTTACAGTTCACCAGATCGTACAGTCAAATTGATTCAACATTTTCTATCAAGGAAAACCAGTTGATTGCATCGACTCATTGACTTGGATGCAATCCCTCACACTAAGCATGCTTGTAGCAACAGTGGAGAGGAAAAACTCCCCTTTAACGGGAAGCAACCTCCAGCAGAACCAGGCTCGGTGTGAGCGGCCATCTGCCGAGGCCGACTCGGGTTCAAGGAGACATAGGCAGAGATACAAAAAGCAACTGTAAAAGGCGGCCCCGTCCAGTAAACACACAGCCAGGCAGACGAGCTCTGAATCAACTCCCATGTCAGAGGGAGAAGAGAGCACATCCCGCCAGTCAGAGAAACAGGGCTACACTGGAAAAACAGGCTGATCTCCAACATCTATGAACAAAGGTGTTGACAGCAGCAGCACAGCTGATATTTCTCTCCAGGATGGTGTCACAGCCAAATAGGAACAGATGAGGCGAAGCTACTATGAGAAAAAGCAGAGAGAGCATAATGTTAGAGATTGAACTAACAGATTCTGCAGAGTGGAAGAATAGACATAGAATGAAGCAGAATGATGAAATAGGGGTCCCTATGTCCTCCAACAGTCTAAGCCTATAGCAGCATAACTATAGAGATAGCTCAGGATAACCTGAGCCTCTTTAACTATAAGCTTTATCAAAAAGGAAAGTTTTAAGCCTACCAAAGAAATGTCAAGTTTACTCCTAATATCAAAGTACATTTTACTTATATCTGTTAAGTTAGGGACTTATTTAAATTGCTTTGTTAATACTATTTATATTTGGTAAGATTTATTAAATTTACTTGTCTCTCTGTGGATAAAGAATTACAAATGAATTCTAAGTAACACATTAAATAAAAGGTGTCATTTTGCAAAATGATATTTACAGGAACGAAAAGTCCCTTTTTTCAGTGCAGCAGATATGAATATTTTGCAAAATGTAAAAATAAAGCCAATAAATATTTACTCTGTATAATATTGGCAGGTCTTGAAATACAGGAACCTTGTCAAGAAAAGCTTTTAAAAATAACTAAAAAGGAAGGGGGAGGGCTTGTTGTGCACTGCAGATAAAAACTTGGTGCTAAAACGTACGCACATAGGGACTGACCTTTAAAGAAGCCAAATATGGAGTGCTAAACTGCATGTAAGCACCTGCAATGAGTGGGCGTGTTGTGGGTGATCTGCAAGGATTGAATGTGCAATGGATAAGATGTGCAAAACCGGTTTATCCACCCTAATTAAAGAGTAAGTTGTGGCTGTTGGCAGTTTGGTCGAAGCTGTAATTCTAAGTAATGTATTTTGAGATGATAATCAGGGTCATGATTATTAAATTTTTCTGTCACGCTTCTGGTCATGTTTAAAAAAAAAAAGTGCAAATCATAATGGACATGTGTAAGTTCTTAGTCATCCGAGTCATGTCAACCACAAACAGGTTCAAATTGGAAGGCAATGAGCTTCTCGCTCAGTTTTTTGAAGATGTTTCGACACTGACATAGCAGTTTTGTAAATCTGTTGGCTCGCACCAGAGCAATATGTGGTTTGAGCGCTGATGTAAACTGCTTGGAGGTCCATTCTCATGCACACATTGCAAGTCAGAAGTAAATCAAATATGCGCCTTTTGTTCTACATATGGGCTATATCCTTGGTCTTTTAAATCATATTGGGAGTGCTTTTATAATTTTCTTGGAATGAGTTTCATGTTGGAAGCTGAAACCGTAATCCTCCCCCCTCTCTCCTCTTTTAATAAAGAAGGCTGTTTTCACTCCTCTTTCAAACTGTTTGTCCTCTCTGTCCAAAATCTAAACACTTTGGTGTTTAAAAGTGTGTCCCAGAGTTTCTTGCTCTTCCATGCTTCCAATGCCATGTATTGTCATTGTTTGGCTTCTCCAATCTAGGAGGCTGAACATTGCTCAATGCTTTGGATGGCATAAAACAATCAGCTCAGTTTAGGTTTGGCAGTCCTTTTTTTTTTAAATTAACCATTTTTTTTCTGAGTGTGTTGTTGTGTTTGAAATTGACTGGTATGTTTTGTTTGGATAAAATCCTTCTAAATTGCTCAGAAATTTTGCTATTTCTTTTTTTGACTGGAATTTCCTAACATGTTTATGTTCTTTTCATATTTTATTTTTCTTTTTTTTTTGAGAACTTTATTCAAATTGAGGCCAGTTTATTAAAATTTGGGTGGCACCCACTTCCTCTGTAATTTAGGGCATATTGTCAGCCTGGTAACTCACAGTTCTGATAACATGAAGTTAATGCTACAGCAGATGAAGTGATTCAAAATGAAGGTATCTTCTGTATGTGTAGGTTTTCAGTAAATATCCGGTAAAACACCCTAAGCGCGGACCCAGACATGCTGGAGAGTCTCCTGATGACTCCTGAACATCTCGGACTATCCCAACACTCACAAAAATATTTCTTCAAAATTAGAACATTTATGGGATTTTATTACAAAACAAATTGCTATTTACTTTTTTAAAGATAATTTTAGCATAAAATCTATTAAACAAGCTTTACTAATGCAAGTTTATGTATTTCATATTAATAACGTATACTTACTCAAAATAAATACTAATAATGCATTTATTTTGAATACAAAAAGTTTGTCTGAATTGCTTGAAGGTAACCCTGGTTATTTGCGATGCAGAGGAGTGAGAAGTGGAAGCCAGGGTGGAATTATTATAGCAGTAGGATTTGCTAATATGTGTGGAGAGTTTCCAGGATAACCATTTCAATGAACATGTTGTACTTCATACAATGATGTGTTCTGCAAGCTTAAAGCATTTTGTACTTTTAAAGTAAACCATCTACCTGTGCATGTAAACAAGACAGCAACGATCTTGAAATCTTTTTGAGGTAGAAACCAACCTCTGATCAGAAGGAAGAGGTTTTCTGCCTTTTATTTTTTAATTCATAGAAGCTTACTGTCATCTTGGTTGCTTAGACTCCAAACCACTCTGGAGGTTAACAAAATGTCAACAGATCCCCATAAAGCACATCAGTCTGATTGGAACTTGTTTTATTTGCTGAGTATGGTTGTACATTAGTGACCGTATTGAGATTAAACACATAATGCACAAATTTACCACATATTTCACAGTTTGCATTGTTAACTGTTGTATTGATAACTTGTATAACTGTGTATGGCAATCCCTTTAAAAACATGCATGATTTGCAGATTTGAAAGTTTGTAAATTGAACATTACCAAAAGGATACTCACTTGATTGAAGGGTATTTCTATTTACAATATAAGTGAAAAAAAAAAAAAAAAAAATTAACGTGTTTAAATATTATTAGAACAAAAGCCAAATTTGAATTACAAAATTCAAAATATTCCTTTATGTTGAGCTTTACCTATAGGCAACATCTTTATACATACATTTCCTTACTCCTTAGTCAGCTTTAACTTTACGTCTACAGACAGCTTTCCATAAACACCTGATAAACATGACGGTAGCTGTGAGCATGAGCAGCACTGCTGCTGACAGGAAGAGGACTACGTCTACAGAGTGGTAGATATACCAGGGCATTCTGTAGGATTGAGCTTTCAGGTGAGCAGCACCTTTGTGTCTCATTACAAACTCCATCCAGAAGATGGCGGTTTCAATGGGCTTCATCGGCTGATCTCTGTGCAGCCTGGAGAGTCTCTGCATGTTCAGCCTGTAGGAAGGTTCATTCAGGACTTCCTGTATCGCTTTCAGGAAGTTGTCATCTTTATCTACTGTACTCAGCGTAAGAATTTTAGCCGCTCCTTTTACTTCCAGGCGGAGCAGATTGTCATATTGATCAAAAACCATTGGGAAACCCACCAATGGAACTCCATGACACAGCGCCTCCTGGACTCCATTTGTTCCTCCATGAGCCACAAAAAGCTTTACTTTAGGATGTCCTAAGAGGTCTTTTTGTGGCATCCAGTCGACAACTAAAGTGTTGTTACCCAGAGTGGACGGTTTGGTGCCTTTATAGCTCCAGATGACTTTCTGTGGGAGCTTAGAAAAAGCTGCAGCAATCTCATTTACCAGATCTTCTGGAAGTTCTTCCACGAATGTTGAGAGGGACATAATTATGACTCCATGATCTCCAGAACTCTGCACAAACTCCTCCATATAGTCAGGAAGTGGCTCTGCAGGTTTACAGTGGAACCCTCCCATGTAGACAACATTAGGCATTGTGGGACGAGTGTAATCGAACACAAAGTCGCTTCTCATCAGCCAAATATCAGCATCATTCCTTATCATATCAAAGTCACAATCAGGTCCGAGGTATTTTTCACAAAGGGGCTGGTATACTCCCTTAATGATCTGCCTGCTTTGCATATATGTCATTAAATGAAGAATGGTGTTTTTAACTCTCTGAAAAAATGTCATTATATCAGTGTTGCCAGATCCTGTGGTTGGAATGTAGGATAAGGGGGAAGGAGCAATGGCAAAATGAGCTTCTTCTGGCATTAACCAGCGAACATTATAAACTAAAGGGAGGTTCATATATTTGGCCAAAATAGCTCCATTACCCCAGCATGGGTCAGTTAGAACCAGATCAAACTTGGTCTCATTTAATTTCCTCATCAGCTCTGTGTCATCCAGCAGGGTTGAAACAAATGCGCTAATAGAAGTGTGAATTTCAATAATTTTGTCAAGAATGCCTAGATTGATGTAGAGAAAACTGATGAAAGATAAGTCCCCCCGCTCAAATTTGATGAACTCATTAAAGATTTTTTTTAAAAACTCCTTATCTATTAGGCTCTTTTCCAGTGGGACTGATATTGTGCTATAATGTATGGAGTTCTCCTTGATGTACCAGCTTTTGCTGGGATATAAAATAGTGACATTGTGTCCTTTGGAGTGAAGAGCTTGCAGAAGGATTTCCATGTTTATCCAGTGGCTTCCTTCAGTAGGAAAGACCAAGATGTTGCCACCCTCACAACTGCAGGGAAGGAGGACGAGCAAGAGCAACGCCCCGCAGCTATATACTGCATTCATCTGAAATGAGAACATGGGACATATACATAAAATTAAAAATAAAAAGAACCTGTTAGCTAGTATATACTGCATTACTCTTTGCTTCATTGAAGTAGCACAGTGTAAATTTGACCCCTATTATCAGCTTAATTTGAGATATATCAAATGATTCTTCAGGTCAGTGTGGAAACCCTGGCAAGTAACTTCTGGGTTGGATCCATCATTGAATGAGATATATACACTTTAAACAGTCTAAGGTCAACTTAGCTGTTCTTAGGCAACAAACCATAGTATGATAACTGATCAGATATTTTTTATTTATATTTTTATGTTGGATTTAATCTAGATAGGTGAATGTGGCCTTTTCTTTAACTCCATGAACTCAATTCTAAGGTGTCTGCTATGATATTAAAACAAAAGGATGGCAAACAGTTTCTTTTTGCAACAGCGCAGAGCTGCCAGCAGTGGTCAGGGTCCAGCTAACCAGGGTTTATGTTTTTTTTTTTATGTAAAGAAACAAAGTAACTTTATTATTAATCGATCCTTAATAGCTGATCTCTGCATCTGATCATCTGACTTGAATAAGCTGTAAATCCTAGTCTGTTTTTCACAATTATATTTATAGAAATGTTGAGGTTTGCATGCAAGCACTATAACAGAGCTTCTGAGTTGAAACAGAAGGTAATTCACAACCGTTACTAAATGTAACTGAGCCTAAACTTTGCATTCAGCCTTCACATGGTGCTTACATTCCATAGCAGCTGGTCTTAAGTGGTAGAGACTTGGTTTAAATCCCATCTTAACCCATGACGAGATTTTCTAGTTTCATGATATCATTTTAAAAATAGGTGAAATCTAACGTTTTACTTAAGGTTATAGAAAATGGTTTACTGTCTCATATTTATCAGCTTTTGTCATGAATAGGGTAAGACATTGATGAGCAAATAAACAAGTATAATTATCAAAGAAGCAAGGTAATTACTCTAATTCTCTTAGATAAAAAACTACATATACACTTTTTTGTAATTTAAAGTTAGCCTGAGGAAGACAGGCTAGATTACTTGTTTCTTGTTTTGTTTTTTTATAACTTCAGTGTTCCGGTCAGCAAGGACCTGAGGAAGAGCGGCTGCTGACGTCACTCTGCTGCGCCCGCCGCTCAGAATGCTTTTTCATTTTCGAGTTATGGACAGTACTTTGCAGGCAGACCATGAAAACGAAAAAGCAATGTCTGCCGTGTTTTCTCTTTGTTTATGGCATAAATTGTGCAGTCTTAAAGAAGAAAATACAAATGCAAATCGGATGATTGATTACTAATTTAATTTATGAGTCAAACAATGCAGCCACATTCTTAAAATGAAAAAGCATTTCTGGAAATGCTTTTTCATTTTCAAATTTTACATTTAAAATTGAATTTTGGTATGTATTTGCTGGGGTACATTTTGAAAAATAAATCTCAAATGTCTTTTTCTTTTTCATTTTAATTAAGTAAAATGATGAGCAGTGTTGAAGAAGAAAATGAAAATGCAAACAGGATTATTGATGACTAATTTCATTTAGGAGTCAAACAATGCAGCCACATTGTTAAAATGAAAAAGCATTTCTGAAAATGCTTTTTAAATATGGTAACGATTTGCTTCCATTACGGAGCCCCTCTGATGACATGGTCAAAAAAATGTTTAATTGTGGCCACGAAGTAGTATTTCGTGCGCACGAAATACTACTTCGTGGCCACGCAATAAGTTTAAAGTGCGCACGAAATACTATTTCGTGGCCACGCAATAAGTTTAACGTGCGCACGAAATACTTATTAATAATATCAATAAATCCGCCCGTTTTCAGGTTTATGTTAACTGTAATGGCTTATCTTGGACAGGCTGCTATGTAAACGGGCCTTTAGTCCTTCGTTTAGCTATGCTGCGGTTGTTTACACTGCGCCTTTTCCACCTAAAATAGCGTCTTAGCAACAAATGTCACGTGACTGGCGGAGACCGACTGGGTAAGCAAATCGAGCGCGCCTTAGACCTTAGAGAAGGCGCGCTCGATTTGCTTACCCAGTTGTCCAGGAATGATATTAATATTATTAATAAGTATTTCGTGCACACGTTAAACTTATTGCGTGGCCACGAAATAGTTTTTCGTGCGCACGATAAACTTATTGCGTGGCCACGAAGTAGTATTTCGTGCGCACGTTATACTTATTGCGTGGCCACGAAATACTACTTCGTGGCCACAATTAAAATTTTTTTTTTACCATATCATCAGAGGGGCTCCGTATTATGTTAACTGTAATGACTTATCTTGGACAGGCTGCTATGTAAACGGGCCTTTAGTCCTTCGTTTAGCTATGCTGCGGTTGTTTACTACGGTGGCTGAGAAGTGCAAAACACATTTACAATTCAAAAACACATTAACAAATAAAAAACAAAATAACATTTGAAGAAACAAAATTATATTTTATGAAACAAATTTATTTTTGAAAAAAAAGTTTACATTTTTAAAAACACATTTACATTTTAGCATACAAATTTACATTAACAAATAAACAAAATAACATTGTAAGAAACAAAATTATATTTTATGAAACAAATGTATTTTTGAAAAAAAAGTTTAAATTTTTAAAAACACATTTACAATTCAAAAACACATTAACAAATAAAAAACAAAATAACATTTGAAGAAACAAAATTATATTTTATGAAACAAATGTATTTTTGAAAAAAAAAGTTAAAATTTTTAAAAACAAATTTACATTTTAGCAAACAAATTTACATTTTAGGAAACAAATTCACATTTAAAATAAGTTAGATTTTAGGTGAGAGAAAGTTTCATTTTAGAGAAAAAAAAATACATTATAGGGAAACAAATTTACATCTAAAAAAAAATTGACCGTTCGGAAACACTTGTACAAGTGCAAAGACAAAACTGCAAGTGGCAAAACACATTTACATAGCCAAAAACAAATTAACAAAAGACGGCTACACGGAAAGGGAATGTCCCAGTGGCCGGATGTGACGTCACGATTACCCTGACTTGTAGTAGTCCTCCTGCTTCACGTGAAAAGTCAGCTGCGATTTTAGATGGAAAGAATTGCACTGAAGCTGTTTTTCTTAAGTTTACGCTAACCGAACAATGTTTTGCCTATATTGTGGAGCAAATTTCAGCCAATTTACACCATTTTGTTCTTCGTGCGGACGGTCTCTGGAACTTTTACGGGACACGGTACAAGGTGGCAGGACCAAGCAGCAGGGCCGAGCTCAATTCATGGCAGTGGCTGCGGCAGAGCCTGCCATCGGAGTGGCCGTTGTTGCCCGCTGCCGGCAGAGCCTGCCATCAGAGAGGCCGATGGTGGCCGCTGCCGGCAGAGACTGCCATCGGAGAGGCCGATGGTGGCCGCTGCCGGCAGAGCTTGCCATCGGAGAGGCCGATGGTGGCCGCTGCCGGCAGAGCCGCTGCCGGCAGAGCTTGCCATCTGAGAGGCCGATAGTGGCCGCTGCCGGCCGAGGCCACTTATTCGCAGATAAAATACTCCGTTCCATCAAGTAAATGTGATATTATAAAAGTTTTAATGCAGTTTATTAAGCAATAACATCACAATAAAAAGAAACCCATAAAGAATACATTTTGATACAGGTTATTAAGCGATAACATCACAATATATAGCATATATATATATATATATATATCTATATAAAACAATCTAGTTAGAAGTACTATAAATAAGGCATTTGCCGAAAAACGGCAGGAAAAATACCCAAAAAATAATTAAATACCAAAGAAAAGTAATAAAAAAACTACATGACAAAATAATAGTGGCTCCGGCCAGTAATACGCCCGGTCCTGCTGCTTGGTCCTGCCACCTGGTCCTTGTCCCGTAAAAGTTCCAGAGACCGTCCGCATGAAGAACAAAATGGTGTAAATTGGCTGAAAACATTGTTTGGTTAGCGTAAACTTAAGAAAAACAGCTTCAGTGCAATTCTTTCCATCTAAAATCGCCGCTGACTTTTCACGTGAAGCAGGAGGACTACAGATTGAGCTGTTTGTACTACAAGTCAGGGTAATCGTGACGTCACATCCGGCCACTGGGACATTCCCTTTCCGTGTAGCCGTCTTTTGTTAATTTGTTTTTGGCTATGTAAATGTGTTTTGCCACTTGCAGTTTTGTCTTTGCACTTGTACAAGTGTTTCCGAACGGTCAATTTTTTTTTTGATGTAAATTTGTTTCCCTATAATGTATTTTTTTTTTCTCTAAAATGAAACTTTCTCTCACCTAAAATCTAACTTATTTAAAATGTAAATTTGTTTCCTTAAATGTAAATGTGTTTTTAAAAATTTAAACTTTTTTTTTCAAAAATAAATTGTTTCATAAAATATAATTTTGCTTCTTCAAATGTTATTGTGTTTATTTGTTAATGTGTTTTTGAATTGTAAATGTGTTTTTAAAAATTTTAACTTTTTTTTCAAAAATACATTTGTTTCATAAAATATAATTTTGCTTCTTCAAATGTTATTGTGTTTATTTGTTAATGTAAATTTGTATGCTAAAATGTAAATGTGTTTTTAAAAATTTTAACTTTTTTTTCAAAAATACATTTGTTTCATAAAATATAATTTTGTTTCTTCAAATGTTATTTTGTTTTTTATTTGTTAATGTGTTTTTGAATTGTAAATGTGTTTTGCACTTCTCAGCCACCGTAGTTTACACTACGCCTTTTCCACATAAAATAGCGTCATAGCAACAAATGTCACGTGACTGGCGGAGACCGACTGGGTAAGCAAATCGAGCGCGCCTTAGACCTTAGAGAAGGCGCGCTCGATTTGCTTACCCAGTTGTCCAGATATTGATATTAATTGTCCAGAATGATATTAATTGTTGTCCAGTTGTCCAGAATGATATTAATATTATTAATAAGTATTTCGTGCGCACGTTAAACTTATTGCGTGGCCACGAAATACTACTTCGTGCGCACGAAATACTACTTCGTGGCCACAATTAAATTTTTTTTTTTACCATGTCATCAGAGGGGCTCCGTATTCTTCAGCAGTGACCAGGTGTGGAAACACATGTTGACACATAACTGGGTTTGGCACCGCATGGATCAGTTCTAACATGCATGGCTGTTAGGCAGGAAGGGGATCTGCACATGCTCGATAATGTTTTCCTGGTTCTATGCAGTATATACAAATATAAGATAATTAGATATAATACTTACATTTAGTCTTGTTTGTCCGGATCAAATTAAAGTTGTTACCAGTGTGCTACATCAAAATTCTCGTTAAATACATAAGGAAGACGTATTTAAGTCTTTATTCCAGTCACTTTCTGGAAAGCATAACCCTGTGTGTGACAGCAAAAGCACTAACAGACCCAGGGATGTGACAATTAACAGACTCCTGTCGAATTTAGGAAGGTAATCTGTTTTAAGAGATTTGTTTTAAAATATCCGTTCGGTCCAACTAGTCAATGAAACGTGAAAATGCAACGAAAGAAGAACAGCAGATAACACAAAATTGGGAGAAAGTTTAGGATCTTTGCACCAGTTCCTGCTGAGGAGCGATAATACTGCGTTCCATGGCGACACCTAGTGTCAGAGAAAAGAAGTGCAGCAATGATTGCACAACTGTGCAAGAGTTCAACACAGTTAGTGGCGGATAAAACTGCAGGACGCGCCTTAATTTAGCGAGATTGTGAATATTTTACAAAAAAAGGGAACAACATTTCAGTGGAAAAAAGATGGGCATATTTGTAGCATCCAGTAATAAATGAAAGGGACGAGCAACCATATTCATATGCATTAGTTTAACATGCCACAAGAATTTCTTTTTGATTATTTAATTATTCTGTATCAGTGAGATTTATGTGATCATTGGTGAAATGCGTTCCATCCAATAGCTAGAAAAACTAGGAGCATATGCAGTTTAATAATACAGCGCAATGTTTCCTCTTAAAGTACTTTACAAATAGTTGCATATGATTATATAGGATACAATCTGGACCGATTACAGTGCATAGCAACCAGATTTATTACAACCCAATTGGTTCTGATTAACTGATCATCATTCGGATTCACTGCTTACCGTACAATGCAGGACAGCTAAAGTCAGCTGAGCTTTTCAAACCAGTTAGATGAAAACTCCCTATTTAAAGAAGCTCAGCTGATTACTTCAACTTTGACTTTGGAGCGTTTCCTGCACTCGAGCAAAGGTGTAGTAGCTGTTTTAAGATAAGGTAATCTGTTGTCACTGAAATGATTGGGTGCAAAACTTATTTTATGGCAGCCCAGTGAATAATTAGACAAGGCTTGCTGGAAAAGATTGTTTTGTCCTCTTATAAAACAATTATAAATTATAATTTATTAGTAATACTGTCACTCTGTTTTGACTTACTGAAATGGATATTTTCACAGATTGAATCTGACTTTGGCTGTCAATCTGTTTCCCTGCTCTCTCAGACAAAAATGTAGCTCCGCCTTCCCTTGTTCTGTGGTTTTAGCAGAAATATAATCAGGCCTTTACTCTAATTAGCTCCAATTTTTTTGTAATTTTTCCTCTACTTCATAATTATGTATTACTTTGTGTTGACATATCAATTTAAATGCATTTGAAATAAATGTACATCTGGGGTTGTAATGTGAAAAAATGGTAAAAAGCTTGGGGAAAACCTTGCATTTGCATCTCAATGTTAATCTGGTATAGTTTTATTAAATACATTTCTAATGCAAAAGAAAAAAGAATAAACACTGCCCAAATTAAAATGTGATGGGTGACATTCATAACCTGCACATAATGACTAAATAAGTAGATAGTAAAATATATTTTTCTGTGCTAAAATGTTTTGATTACTATTGAGCTACAGATGATCAATGCAGTTTTTTTTTTAAACAAATTAAAAAAGCAGCTTAGGATGTATTATATAAATAGCTAAACATGTTTATTGGACAAAATAATTAATAACTTCCATGAAATAAATACAGATTCAGTGTGTGGCATTTTAGATTACAATAAGCAACTTAAAAAAAGATACATTTTCTTATTTACCAATATATGACCAAAACCAGGTTGCAGTAGAGTTTATGAGTATAAGCATGAAATAATGCTTGTAAAGTGTAAAAAAATATATAAAAAAATAGTTATTGGAACGCTACCTCTACATAGAGTAAATACTTAGTCAGCTTTAACTTTACGTCTACAGACAGCTTTCCATAAACACCTGATAAACATGACGGTAGCTGTGAGCATGAGCAGCACTGCTGCTGACAGGAAGAGGACTACGTCTACAGAGTGGTAGATATACCAGGGCATTCTGTAGGATTGAGCTTTCAGGTGAGCAGCACCTTTGTGTCTCATTACAAACTCCATCCAGAAGATGGCGGTTTCAATGGGCTTCATCGGCTGATCTCTGTGCAGCCTGGAGAGTCTCTGCATGTTCAGCCTGTAGGAAGGTTCATTCAGGACTTCCTGTATCGCTTTCAGGAAGTTGTCATCTTTATCTACTGTACTCAGCGTAAGAATTTTAGCCGCTCCTTTTACTTCCAGGCGGAGCAGATTGTCATATTGATCAAAAAACAAGGGTAACCCCACAACTGGGACACCATGATAAATGGCTTCTAGGAGTCCGTTTGTTCCTCCGTGAGCCACAAAAAGCTTTACTTTAGGATGTCCTAAGAGGTCTTTTTGCAGCATCCAGTCGACAACTAAAGTGTTGTTACCCAGAGTGGACGGTTTGTTGCCTTTATAGCTCCAGATGACTTTCTGTGGGAGCTTAGAAAAAGCTGCAGCAATCTCATTTGCCAGATCTTCTGGAAGCTCAGGCACGAAAGTCCCTAAAGACATGATTATGACTCCATGATCTCCAGAACTCTGCACAAACTCCTCCATAGAGACGGGGAGGGACTCTGCAGGTTTGCACTGGAACCCTCCTATGTACACAACATTGGGCATTGTGGGACGAGGGTAATCGAACACAAAATCGGTTCTCATCAGCCAAATATCAGCATTTATCTTCAAAATATCAAAATCACAATCGGGTCCTAGATATTTCTCACAAAGGGGCTGGTATACTCGCTTAGTGATCGACAGATCGTTCATTCGGACGATAGAATATAAAAGGTTGTTTTTAACTCTCTGAAAGAAGGTCATCTTATCAGTGTTGCCAGATCCTGTGATGGGAACATATGATAATGGAGAAGGAGCAATGCCAAAATGACCTTCTTCAGATATTATCCAGCGAACATTAAAGACTAAAGGGAGGTTTAAATATTTGGCCAAAATGGCTCCACTACCCCAGCATGGGTCAGTTAGAACCACATCATACTTGGTGTTGTTCAGGGTTCTGATCAACTCTGCATCGTCCAGCATGGCTGAAACAAATTCACTCACAGCCCTGTGAATCTCCAGGGCTGTGCTGAACATGCCAAACGAAGCACCAAAGAAGCTGGTCAGAGGTAAAGCTCCCCGCTCAAACTGGATGATGTCAAATATGATTTTGGTGATGAACTCCTGATAAAAGCTCCTCTTAACAGGAACTGTGAAGGTGCTGTAATAGGATGAGTTTTCCCTGATGTACCAGCTGTTGCTGGGGCGCATAACAGTCAGGTTGTGTCCTCTGGAGTGCAGAGACTTTATTAAAAACTCCATGTTTATCCAGTGGCTGCCCTCGATAGGGAGGACCAAGATGTTTCCTCCTTTGCAGGAGCTGGGAGCGAGGATGAGGAGGAGCAAAACCCCGCAGCAGCAGATCAGCTTCATCTGAAAAAACAGGCAACTGATCAGAGCAGATCAAACACATACCACAATGTTTCTAATAAGAGCGCACTAGTTTTAGCAAACCACAGCCCCACAGCCCCCTTCATTGCACCACGCGTTACAGTTCACGATTCAAGACAACACATATATATATATAAGAAAATATTAACTGTGAAAGCATGTGGAACAAATACCGATTTAATGATTTACATCGTTTTCGGTCTTACTTTCTTTGACAGAAACGATCAATTTGAATCAGGCCAGGATAGAAGAGCATCAAATAATCCGATGTTTATCTAAATCGAGCGCAGCCGTAAAGTTCTCCGCCGTCTCGCCATTGTGCGCACAGAAGACGTTTAATGGCCACGGTAAACAACATTGTGGTGCATTCAAAGACAGCTCGTTCACTAAATAACAAAGTTGAAGTAAAAATATAGTTGGAAATTCCAACTGTATTTTTCCAACTTGGAATGTATGTAGATATTAGTGCTTATTCATATTAATTGTTTGCAGAATGTTTATTGATACAACTAGGTAAGTTTATTTTATTTTATTTAACCTTTATTTTACCAGGAAGTCCCTTCAGATGAAATCTCTTTTTCGAGGGAGACCTGGCCAAGAGGCAGCAGTACAGTAAGAACAGTAAGTGCAGCAGAGCGCAAAGGCGCTATACCCAATTAGTGAATGTCACCGTGTCAATAGATTTTTAAGTCAAATATATCTTTCACATCTTTTTTAGTAAAACTCAATAGAATGCCATAAAACCAAATATAAACAAGCAGTTTTGTTATAGTGAAGTGATGCTTGAGGTATTTCCAAAAATGTTTAATTCAAATACAGAATATTATTTACTAAATCATTTAACTTCCTTTTTGCAGTGAAATATATTTTATGATTTAACTTAATCTTAAAGACTTGAATGCATCACCTTGATGGATTCCGACGGTAATCCTTAGAGTAGAAGTGCAAAGGTGGATCTGTGCAGGGCAGGTTTCTGAAGAGATTACAATTCATTGGGCAAAATAAAGAAGATTGTTTTATTTTGTAACTAATGCTCTTTAAATCACAAAAGAAAATTAAACATGTCAAATAAAGAAATTAATCTTTATCTCTCTTTTTTATGTCTCCTCTTCATTGACTTTTTGTCAGTTTGGATGCACAACTTCTGTCAAAAAGGAATCTTAAAAATGAGTAAATTAAAACCATAATAACCTATTAGACTACATCATTATTATTTAGACCATATCATTGGGCAGGTGCCAAGTTTTAATGGAGAATGAAATTAGCATCTCCCTAAAGCTTGGGAGCTGAAGAAAGTAGGAATTGTCTAATTATACCCGACTGTGCCACATATCATCACTTCCCATCACCAAATGTGAAAACTTCATGCAGGAACTCAAGCAGTCCACTCTCCCTCCAGACTAGAAACTTAATTTCAAGGTGGGATTACACTTTTTACTTTAATCTTAAAAAAAAAGTGGGATTTTGGCTTGTTAAAAACCAGCCCTGTAAATTTCCCAAATCAGACAGGAAATCTCTGGGTTGTTCCTCCAGGGGGACTTAACTTAAAGAACATGATCAGTCATGTTGGAAACCAATCACTATCCTGGAAGCTTTAAATCCAACTGTACCTTTAAAGGCTGCTTTTAGCCCTTTTCTTTGTGCCTTTTTCTACCACACTTTGTCTTTCCACTCAATATTCATTGATATGTGAGACACATCCAGCTCTTTGTGGGCAGCCAGGGTCATTAACAATGGCAGTTTGTGTGTCAGTGACAGTCCACTGGGCAAATAAGTCAGCAGTCTCCAACTGATGGACATAAACAAAACATCCATAGTACATTCAGCTATACGGTTTTTTGGGATTTTAATGTTACTATAAACCATAATCAGCAAAAAAATAATTGAATAATTCACTGTTTTTAGATGCACTACAAGGCAATTGTACTGCGAAGTTAGTATAGGCTAAATAGGCCAGCATTAGTCACCATGTTTTGTAGATCCATAACAGTTTCATTCAGTCGTTGCCTAACAACCAAGTCTCCCTTCATACATACGCCACATAAAGATGATCTTTACAGGTTTCTCTAATAGGGTTTATAACATCGCGAAAGGCTGGAATTTGCACATCCACCACTTTTTCTTTGTTTCATTAAAAATACAGAATATGTAAATTTTCTCCAACGTATGTCTTGCTATCTTCACACATGCATACAGAAATGTGAAGCACAGCTAGCCGTTTGCTGCTCTGGTTTAGGCAGCAGGGAGAGTGAATTCAGAGGATGGTTTTTACAGCCTGTGATGATGAGTGGCTGGATTTCTAAGAGGAAGAGGAAGAGAGGGGATGGGGAAGACTCTGAGGAGGGAGAGAAAGAAAGAGGAGGGGTAAGAGATGATGAGGATGTGCACAACTGGATGCAGCCAAGAGTGCAGCAGTGCCAGTGGGAGGCTAGAAAAAGACCCTGTCTGGAATGGAGGAGAGCGATGCAGCACAGCTGCTTTTGTCAGAGTCCCTCCACCTTTCATCCTCTGCCACCCTGGATTCTGTGTCAGTAAGGAAGAGCCAGAGCAGGTAGGCATACAGCTTTTGCATGCTGCAATGAGAACTCAATTTATCACACAAGGTGAAGGTTGAGGGTATTTTTTAAGGGGCGGTGCACCTATATGAAGTGCTATCAGTGCAGTAGTTAATAGGATATGCATTTTTTTTTTAATATAATTTTAAGGTTATTCCTAACAGATAAATAAAACAAAATAGCTTATTATCCCTTACTATTTAACAGTTCTGGGATGCCGAAGAGACCTGCTGCGTGTGTTCAACTTTGATATGATGCTTAGAGCCGGAGGGGGAGCCACTTTCCATGTACTGCTGCTGATTCTGCTTCCGTGGCTGTTCTTGTTTCAACTGTGCCACTCTCTTTGTGAGTATCGAATGGATAAAAAGGCTTTCATTTCAATTTAATCTATAGAAAAAAATGTGAATCTGTTTTTCTTTATGTTGGCTTTGTGTTTTTAAATTATAAAAAAATACAACACATTTTTTTTTTCTGTGGATGATTCAGCAGTCTCTGTTGAAAACGGTTCTCCTTTGGTAAATCAGGCTGAATCGTTCACAAAGGATTGGGTCACTAAAAAGAATTAGCCTCTGTGGATGAAACAGGAATAGCATGTCAGTGATTTGGACACAGTTGAAACCTTTTCTGGCCCCAGAGGTCTACTTAAATTGGGCTTTTTAAAAAATCTTCCAGGAGGAAAAGTGCAGCAAGCTGTCACTATTATTTCCTGGTGTCAGAAAAAACAACAAAAAAAGCAAAAAAATAAACATCTACATAGAAACATGTGATCAAGCATTGTAGACACTCTTAAGTGTCTACAACCTGTTTCAAAGTATTTTATTTAATATAAAATATGGATTAAATCTGAATTAAACTTTTTGGGTTTTCACTTCCTCTAGTGTATTGCATGCATTGCTCTGTACGTGAGCATTATCTTAACACTATTTGTTTGTGCTTTTGATTAAATTAATTTCCCTGCTGTTATACGTCTGGTATGAAAATTATGTTCATTATTAATAAATTATAGGTTCTTGTAGAGGAGTTTTGGCCACCTTGCTGTTATATTTGGGCATTAGTCCAAATGTGATAACACTAGAGCTTCAGTTGTTCGTTTTCTTGAATTACCTGTTAGTCCGGTACATCTTCTGATAATAGACAGCCCAAGCCCCTTTTTTATGATAAGGTCCACGTGTTTCTTCCAAGATAATGTGTTGTCTGAAATAGTTCCTAATAATTTTGCTTCTTCCACCTGCAACACTGGATTAACATCTACCATCAGGTCTAGAACTGGATTGGTCTTTATTTGTGATTTTAAGCTGAGCACCATTGGTTTTGTTTTAGTTACATTCAGAATTGATTTGTTTGAAATGGTTTAGTAAACAGTGACCGTTAGGTCCTTACCTAACTAACCTTTTAATTCATTTGATGTTGCAGCTGCTAAATACACTGGGAGCCATCTACAGTACATACATAGATAGATCTGCTTTTTTAAGTATACTGGGTAAATAATTTGTGTAGATTGTGTATAGTATAGAACCCAGATAGGTACCTTCAGGCACCCCTTGTAAAGACATATATTTTTTGTATTGTTATCATCATTAGTAAATGATTCATACACATACCTTGACATTTACACTCACCGGCCACTTTATTAGGTACCCCATGCTAGTAACGGGTTGGACCCCCTTTTGCCTTCAGAACTGCCTCAATTCTTCGTGGCATAGATTCAACAAGGTGCTGGAAGCATTCCTCAGGGAGTTTGGTCCATATTGACATGATGGCATCACACAGTTGCCGCAGATTTGTCGGCTGCACATCCATGATGCAAATCTCCCGTTCCACCACATCCCAAAGATGCTCTATTGGATTGAGATCTGGTGACTGTGGAGGCCATTTGAGTACAGTGAACTCATTGTCATGTTCAAGAAACCAGTCTGAGATGATTCCAGCTTTATGACATGGCGCATTATCCTGCTGAAAGTAGCCATCAGAAGTTGGGTACATTGTGGTCATAAAGGGATGGACATGGTCAGCAACAATACTCAGGTAGGCTGTGGCGTTGCAACGATGCTCAATTGGTACCAAGGGGCCCAAAGAGTGCCAAGAAAATATTCCCCACACCATGACACCACCACCACCAGCCTGAACCGTTGATACAAGGCAGGATAGATCCATGCTTTCATGTTGTAGACGCCAAATTCTGACCCTACCATCCGAATGTTGCAGCAGAAATCGAGACTCACACTGCATGAAAAGTGGGATTTTCGTCAATATGCGGCACTGTAGATTGTCGTGGAACTTCAGGTTAGCGGCAGTTTACGGCAATTTGCAGGCTTCGCCGAAAACTCCCGTAAATTGTCAAAAATTGACGTGGACTTTCTTAGGCAGTGTTCCCCCCATGCCTCCCCCCCATGGAATTCTAGGGGAGGCTTTAACATGTAAATGAACATGCTGTGAGCTATACAAATGCAAATCAGGGTTGCAGGGGGGGTTTTACTCCAAGTTACATTTTTTTCTAAAAGGTAAGAAAATCTCTGATACAAAGGCACACGAAGACGAACCCTGGCCTAAACGCACAAATTTTTCACCAAACCAGCCTCTCATCCACACGAAGCCGGCGTTTCGGGGGTCTGTAAACAATCTTTTTTTTATTCAGCCTTCAGAGTGGGAAGATTTCGAAACGCCGTTTTCGCGTTTCCATCTTTACGCTCTAACCGCATTTTTTTTTTACACGCATGCGTCATAGCGTCGCCTCTAAACATGCATGCGCGACACAGTATCACAACAACAATGGCGCCGTTGCTGCTAATGCTACTCACCCTGCTGTCGGGCTTACAACAGAATCTTCTTCTTCTGGAAAATCTCCAGGAAGAACAGAGCAATATCGACGACATAGTTCAGCACCTGAATTTGACTTAACCACGAAAATGGACCCGCAGGGCAACCATGTATAAATATTAGTGCGCATGCCCAACATTTCGTCGCTTATTTTTGCTTTGGCACCACAGCGCCACTTACAGGCCTGGCATACATTTTGCAGCGTTTTCATGCATTCGTGTGGACGCTCACATTTATTTTACGTCTCCGTCTTTACGGCAAACGTTTTGGAAAATATCAGCGTTTCGTGTTCGTTTTGACTTCATGTGGACGGGGCCAAAGAGATCAGGCTCAGTATAGCCTCTTACATTTTAGCTTGAATTGATTTATTTAATTAAAGTATAGAGACCAAAACAGATCTTTAGCTGACAGAGCAATACATTTAGAGCAGTAATTATTTAAAAAAAAATTAGCATTTAAGATAAAAAATAAAATGTTGTCTGTCAATATGCTCAATTCACAATTACTTAAGTTGAAAAGTTTCAAGAAATGAGTCTGAGATGATTCACTTTATAACATGGCGCATTATCCTGCTTGGAGTAGCCATTAGAAGATTGGTACACTGTGGTCATAAGGTCCGGCCAGGTCAAGATCCGCAATTGCAATCGCACCAAACAGGAAAAAGAACATCGACAAATTCCGGTTCGTCAAATTAAAATATAGCAGCAACAGATCGGTGACTAGAAATTATAGCACAATTCTTATATATTAAAAAAAATAAAAAAATAACACCGTTTATTTAAATGATTGGATCCAAACTATTGGTTATTCACCAACGAGGAAGCAGATTTCTCATCTCCATTAAAATATTTATTTTATACCGAGAGAGTTTTGAATTATCCTTATCCCCGTTACAAAAATCTACAAAAATATATATATATATATATATATTTGGGCAGAAACTGAACATGTGCTGGATGATGGTGGGATTTTTTTAATATGTCATATTAAATTAAGCGCTCACAGGGGTTCATACATGAATGAGTGACTCTAATTTAATGCTATTTTAATGCTATTAGAAATTATTTTAATGCCATCAACAAGAACCATGTACACAAGTTATTAGTGTACATGAAATATGAAGGAGCTGTAAGCAGAATTCCATGACTCCTGTATGTGTAAACACACACACACACATATATACGTATATATATATCCTCTAGCTTTTTCTCTGCCTGGAGCGATATAATATATCTGAAGAAATTGTTTTTATAAGCATTTTTTATTAAAGAATTATAAATACTTCGATAAACATATTTAAATAATTTTAGTGCCAATTAAGGCCTTGATTTAAAAAAAATGAATGATTTTTTAATTATTTTATTGATCCGCGGAGACCCTGGTTCATCTCGCGCATGCTCTCTACGATCTCCAAGAAACTCAGAGCGGCGCGGTCTGCAGCCACAGTGGAGGATGTATGCTTTGCTTTGTGCAGGCGGTCTGGAGCGGAGTATGTGGGATTTCGGGGTAAAACTCCTCTTGGACGCGATGGCGACTCTGCATCGAACAAGACGAACTCAAAGAAAAGATGCTAGCGGTAAATATATGTTCGATTACTGCCTGCTGAGCTAAAAGCAGCCTAGCCTAAGCTACGGCTAATAGCAGCCTAGCCTAAAGCTACGGCTAATAGCAGCCTAGCCTAAAGCTACGGCTAATAACAGCCTAGCCTAAAGCTACGGCTACGGCCTTGCAAGAACAAGCTTTATTAAAGTGTATTCTTTGTGATTCACAGGAAGCAGTACGCCGTCTTCACAACTCGGAGACTAATTGCAGGCGCTATGAACCGGAGCAAGGGTAAGATTTAAAGAATATGCTTTCATTCTGCGGTAAAAGGCAATGGATACGGATAGATACCGATCATAGCATAACATTTTGTTTTCACAGACCTCCTATTTGCTCGGAGCCATATCAGCAAGTCCAGATTTGCACGATGTTGATAAAGACGACATTGTGTGTAAGGGACTTGTTTTAATGTTTTCTCCTCCTTGTTACTGTGACTTGCGTTTGATTTTTTATTCATACCACTCTCATTTAATTGTTTTCCAGCTGCCTGTAAGATGTATTTTGAGGCGGTACGCAGGAGCTTCAGATATACGCAGCCAGCCAACACGTTGTGTGCGGAGGCTGCCAAGCAATCTGCTCTGAGTCGGGCCAGAAGAAAGAGGGTAAGACTTTATTTGGTGACTATTTTTCAGGTGCATTGATAGATGTGTTGTGTCCATACGCAGTGCGCTGATTCATTGTTTTTTTTTCAGCGGCTGAAAGCGAGGCAGAGTGTGCTAGCAGATGAGGAAGTGGAACTCTGGAAGTCTGCCACCGTCGGCCTCATGTCCGACGAAGAAGATGGCGTCGTCGGCGGTGTCTCTGGATGGATTGTACGGTCGCCGCCATTTCGTAGGCCGGATCTCACTGAACTCTGTGTTAAGTTGCAGTCCCGGTTAGAAGAGATGCCGAAGTACAGGGCCACGCACAGTAGGCGTCTGCACATCGGACCTGCCTCGGAGGGAATGCTGCCAGTTACCTCCAACCCCGAGGAAGCAAACGGACCGTTCACGGACTTGTAATTTTTAGATACGCATGTGTTTGGATACGCGTTGTATATAGTTGTGTGTGTTTTAATAAAGCTCTTTCTTTGCATAAACAGCTTCCTGGCAAATGTTCATTTCCTGTATAAATTCATTCATGTCCTTGATGGTAGCCCAATAATTGTGTAGTAGTGTAGGATAACATAAATACACAGCATATGAATGAATAAATATATATTCATAAATATATATATGTAAATTTTTATGAAAATATATATATATATGCCAACCAATCACGAGCGACTTTACTTGTTTAAAAAGAAGTGGTTCCGTCCAATACTCAGTAAGAAAATTAAAGCCTGGCGTGGCCACGTGTGGTTTTGCTGCCAATCACGAGCGATTTCACTTGTTTGAGAATAGTGGTTTCAGCCAATACTGAGGAGGTTATTCAAGCCAGACCTGGCCAGCCACGCGGGTTTGCTGCATTCATATGCTAATTAGGGCCATTAGTACAGCTGATCGCTCTCCACATACGTCAGAGTCCGTTTCCGACAATTTGTGGCACGACAAACGCGGACAAGCGCGGGTTGCAAATTGTCGGAAACTGACGAAAATCAGGGAGATCTGCGGGAGTTTACGGGGACGAAAATCTCACTTTTCATGCAGTGTCATCAGACCAGGCAACGTTTTTCCAATCTTCTATTGTCCAATTTCGATGAGCTTGTGCAAATTGTAGCCTCAGTTTCCTGTTCTTAGCTGAAAGGAGTGGCACCCGGTGTGGTCTTCTGCTGCTGTAGCCCATCTGCCTCAAAGTTCGACGTACTGTGCGTTCAGAGATGCTCTTCTGCCCACCTTGGTTGTAACGGGTGGTTATTTGAGTCACTGTTGCCCTTCTCTCAGCTCGAACCAGTCTGGCCTTTCTTCTCTGACCTCTGGCATCAACAAGGCATTTCCGCCCACAGAACTGCCGCTCACTGGATGTTTTTTCTTTTTCGGACCATTCTCTGTAAACCCTAGAGATGGTTGTGCTTGAAAATCCCAGTAGATCAGCAGTTTCTGCAATACTCAGACCAGCCCTTCTGGCACCAACAATCATGCCACGTTCAAAGTCACTCAAATCACCTTTCGTCCCCATACTGATGCTCGGTTTGAACTGCAGGAGACCATGTCTACATGTCTAAACGCACTGAGTTGCGCCATGTGATTGGCTGCTTAGAAATTAAGTGTTACTGAGCAGTTGGACAGGTGTACCTAATAAAGTGGCCGGTGAGTGTATTTATGTAATTGGAGAATGTGGTTGATTGAGTTTTAAGTAATTACTTTCTTAAAATAATTGAACTAAATTAAATATGGGGAAAAGAAAGCATAATCTAACTGAGGACTGCATGAACAAAAATTGATTGTTAGGTGTTGAATGATAAAATACATATTACCAAAGCAATATGACATTTTAAGGATGTTATAAACAGGAATATAAACAAGACGAAAAGTGGCTGTGAGTGTTATGTTCATTTTCAATCCCATAATGAGCTCTATGTGAGTCCCAACATTTTGGCTTTCATTAACTTTAGCCAGAAATGATCAAATACTCAACAATGTTCCAATTGTAAAGGGAATAGATTAACGCTAGCTTTAGCACTTTTTTGCAGCTATTTCCATGTCTATGCTTATGCTTATCTATGTTAAAGTTGAATGTGTTTATTTTATTTATAAACTACAAAAGAAAATATATTGTGGCTATGAATTATAATAAAAAATAAATAAAATGTAATTGTTGATACTGTTTGGTTCAGGTTTTATGGCCCTTGATCAGTTTTGTTTAGCTGTACCCAGGAGCCAAAACCCCTCTTTGGCTTGAAAACTTTACAGAAACCTGCAATAGTGTCTTTTCTTTAGATGCTTTGCACTTGTATTGCAACCCTATGCCTTCATCAAAGATCTACTATCAGTGAAGATCTCCACATCTGTATTATGAGCCAATCACCGGTTTATATATTTCATGCCCACTTAAATCAATCTTTTCTCGTTTATCGATAGTTCAGCCCAAGACAGAGAAAAAACAATTAATCAAAATCCAAGAGGTAACATTAAATATTAATTCTGATCTACAGCAGATGCCAGTTCTGACAGATTAAGCTCCACTTACATTTTAAATATTTTTTTCTATTTTCCTGACAGCAAATACAGTATGCCTCAGGCTAAAAAAGCAATATTCCTGAGAATATGACAGCCTATCTCATGGGGTGGCAGATGTATGTTGTAGGAGGACTAGTCTGTATTGTCAATGACAGAGCAACATATATATGTGCGGCTATTGTTGCTGATTTTCAGATACAGCAGTTGATATCCTTATGATTTTTTTTTGTACCCTACAGCAGCAAAGTGCAGTACATTTGATTGGCTTGTAATTAAAAGTTAGCCTGACGTAGTCCGACTCAATTCTAGTCAGAATATGAGTCTGATACTGCTCCATAGAGCTGTGATTATGGGGCGTGTTTCGAACGAACCAGGAAAAAAAATGCCTCTGCACTCAATTGGTTAGACCTACAACCAATAAGAGCAACGGAGTGCGTGACGTATGTTAATCGAGGCAAAGTTGTTGTCCACAAAAATCAAAGCGTGCAGTTTCACGCCTAGAATAAGAAGATGAGACTTGATCGCGTTTCTCTGTTCCTCTTTTAAAATTAATTTGCTGTCGATATCTTCTAGAACAGACCTAATAGCAGAATCTACTCACCCAAACTCTCCAGCGGCAGCCATTATTGTTGTCACCGTAGCGCGCTTTGGTCACGTGGTTGATTACGTTACTCTTGATCATCTGTCCATCATCGTATAAAGTCCACCCTGACAATTTGATTGGATCGCCTGACAGTGGGCGATAATACTCGCGCTACTATGGAGCAGAGCCAGACCGAACTTCCCCGAACTCAAACCTTGTGGGCGGGGCTAAGTTCTGACTGGCACCCAGGCTAATTAAAAGTAGGATATTTTGTATTGTACTATATATTTAGAGGATACCCTTGAGTCAATATATTGTTGAAGAATCTTAGGACACTCTGGTTGTTGAATTTCTCTACAAGCCTTGCACATTTATAGGCTGAATGATTTCAAACTAAGCCACAGTATGGATGTTGGAAGTCTTAGCATAGTTCTCAACTGGAGGCATTGATGGAATATTTCTAAACCATTCCACCAGCGCTCCGATTGTATTTTAGAGCTGTCTCTCTGGAAATAAACATTAATCTACTGTAAATCTCTGGTCTTTAAGAGCCACTAACAGATTTTCCTCCAGGACTGCCTTCCCTTTTGCACTGTTCCTATCACCGCGCAAAAAAAGGTGGGAATCTGGGAAGATACAACCTGTATTTTTTCTGCATCTGTCAAAGATATCACATCTTTTCAGGGATCCAACGTCCGTATAATATATATCTGTCTGTGAAAGGATTTTTGACAGATCAGATCTGTCTAAATTTGTCTGGATATTTTACGGAATCTGACAGATCCGTATCCTCCAGGATACCAACCCTTTTTGTCTACTGCATTTCTTTAAAATTTGACAAGCTTTCCTTACTCTACTTTTAAAAAAAGAAACATTTCTGCAGCATGATTCAGCCTCCATATTGTTTTAAACATGGTCAAATATGGTATCCTGTCCTGTCCTGCCCAATCCTGTCCTGTCCCATCCCATCCTGTCCTTTCGTGTCCTCTCTGTCTCATCCTGTCCTGCCCTTTCCTGTCTGCTCTGTCAAATCCCATCCTGCCCAGTCCTGTAATGTCTGTCCTGTCTTTCCTGTTCCATCCTGTCTCATCCTGTCCTTTCCTGTCTGTCCTGTCCCGTCCCGACCTGCCCTGTCCTGTCCTGTCCCGTCCTGAATTTTCCTGTCCTACCAAACAGTTTGATATGAGGGATGTTTTTAAATTAGCAGTATTACTTTTCCACCACACATACTTAATTTAGGCCAAAGAGTGATATATTAATATTATCTGACAACAACATGGTTTTTTTTTAACATCATTTATAATAAAGCTGGAAATGGATTCCTTTCAACAATAGTATTATCTTGCCACTTTGCCATAACAACTAGATTTGTGAAGTGCACAACTCTCACCCTATCTCTGATGATTGTTCTCCTCACCAACCTGTCTGTTATGGTAGACTGTCCTGAGACACTCTTTTAAAACCTTTTAGACCTCGAAAGTAAATCCAGGATGTTTTCTTGTATACTGAAGCTCTGAACCGTATTTTCTACCTTTTCTCTGATCTCAGGGGTTCCAAATATCTCTTCCTATGCAAAAGCAGAGGACAAACTGTTCAAATATCTCTTCCGAAACTACCAGAAATGGGTTCGCCCTGTGGAGTACCTAAACCAGACCATCCGCGTGAGGTTTGGGTTGGCTATTTCCCAGCTGGTTGATGTGGTAACTTCTATTTTTACTCATTTTTAATGGTTCTGAAAACTGAAGCTTTAGTAGACCATTTGTTTTTCATTTATTTCCCATCCTAGGACGAAAAGAACCAGCTGATGACAACTAATGTCTGGATAAAACAGGCAAGTCCAATAATAAACACATGATTAACTGATTTTGTATGTCATTTATTTATATACAGACATTCAGGTAAACCTGTTTGATAGTCAAAAGCTAGATTGTGTATCAAAGTATTCAGAGATGGGAAGTAACGAAGTACAAATACTTCGTTACTGTACTCAAGTAGATTTTTCTGATATTTTTACTTTACTTTACTACTTATTTTTATGGTGACTTTTTACTTCTACTCCTTACATTTTTACACAAATATCTGTGCTTTCTACTCCTTACATTTTTAAAAATTGGCTCGTTACTCTAGTTTTGAATCATTTCAATGGAGTTACCGTTATTATTTTTCACGTCATCAATACCAAATTCAGTCTAATTGGATGGGAATCTACGTTGCATTTGACGCACCACTACAAGATGAATCGACAGATTCGGCGGTATTCATTGGCGGCAAATCCTTGCAGCTTGGTGGCGGTGGCGTTAGCATAATAGCATGGACGACGAGATGATTGAAAATGAACACAACGGAGATCTAGTCCTATTGGCAGACATCCATTTAAAATGTAGGCAACGGCATGAAAAAAGTGGTTTCTACTTTTACTTTTATACTTTAAGTAAATTTACAAGCCTGTACTTTGTTACTTTTACTTGAGTAAAGAAGTTTAATCAGTACTTCCACTTTTACCAGAGTATTTTTTAACACAAGTATCTGTACTTTTACTCAAGTACGGAAAGTGAGTACTTTTGCCATCTCTGAAAGTATTTTCTGGCCTAGTAAGCTTTTTTTAATCAGATGTAGTGGCATTTCACTGACAGCTCTCATCTATTAGACCTGATTAGACCCTGAGCCTAACCACCTACTTCCACACACCCATTCCATCCCCTGCCCCATCCTGTCAGCTCTATATATGGAGTCTGTGTCAGGTCTTATACATTATTTAACCAAACTCCTTTCTGCTCGGATATATAAATTACTTCATTCCAAAAAGAGACGATGGGCAGAAGCCATTGTGGTGAGCTATCATCCCCAATTTAATCACATGCGGAATACAAAGCTGTTTTCATTTTTAGCCATTTATAGTTAAATTACAATGTGTATCAACATAAGAGTAAAGATGTAAAAGTATGCCCAACTTAGCTAAAAACCTCTGTCGTTCTAGGAAAAATGTAAACATGGCATCATGTATACATTTGTCCCAGAACGACAGGGAGTGTTGGCTTGGTGGTTGGGGCATTGCGCCTTGATCCCAGAGGTTCTGAGTTTAAGGCCAACTGCCACGGACTGCCATTCTGGGTCCCTGAGCAAGACCCTTAACCCGCACAATGGCAGTTCACTGCTCCCCAACGGGATTGGTTAAATACGGAGAGTGAATTTCATTGCTCTGTACTTGTGACACTATAATGACAATAAAGTTGAATTCTATTCTATCCTAATGAGATGTACAACACATGATTACATGCCAATAATATTATTATATAGAATTGTAGCAGAAAGAGCATGACAATTATTAAAATAAACAAGCAATAAGAATCTGATGCAGAGCAGCAGATTTGGCAGCTACATGATGCCACGGATAGAGGGATAAGAGAAATGAATTATATTCATTAAAAACATCTAGAACTATGAAAACTACAGAGTTATTATTTGAAAACATGATCTATTATGCAAAAGAAAAAAAACACACAGAAAACAAAGAAAATACAAAAAACATCAAAACTTTATTGAGCAGCTGTATAGAAAATGCACATAATGTTTGCTTTTAAAGCTATTGGAATAAGTTTCATGTTTTTCCTTCAAAAAGAAAAGCACATATATTTTTGTTTTCTTCTCTCTGCAAGTTGTTGCAAAATGTATTTGTTTTTTTTAACAGATTTTTCTTTCTTTTTTCCCCTGTTGTGTAGGAATGGGTTGATATGAAACTGAGATGGAGCCCTGAAGACTTTCTGGGCATCACAACCATCCGGGTTCCATCAGACAGGATCTGGCGTCCTGATGTTGTGCTTTATGACAAGTACGTAGCATGATGTGGTGTGTTACAACTGATTTGTGATATTGACACAATAAAGGTAACACTGTGCTTCAAGGGTTTTAGAGAACTGTAGTCATATAGTGACTTTCGAAAATATTTTTTTGTATTGCTGTGTTGTGTTCCTTCAGAGAGAGGGTAGCTAAGGTATAGAAGCGACTGTCTGCTCAGGCTCATGCAGAAGTTTAACCAGCAAGGAAATGGCTTAGTCCAATATTTTGGTTTTCTTTAAATAGAAATGTTTTTTTGTTTTTTACTCAGACTGTATCATTTGAATAAACTGACTGTAGGGGGCCTTGAGACCATGTGTTGTGAATTGGTGGTATATGACAATAAAATTAATTGAACTGATTGAGTTTGGATAGGAGAGCAGCCAACAGTTTTTATTCTGTAGATGTGTTACCTTGGTAGAACCAAAAATCCTGCAGTAGTTGTCAGAATTTGTAGAAGTTTTTAGATGGACTGAAAATACAGAGGCAGGGGCAGAGATGGGTTATTGCCTATTTACTGTGATGATGGCAGCAGCATTAATCCAAAGGTAAACAGGCAAGCATCACAGGGACCAGAACAGAGTAACAGAGGAGGAACATAGGAGGTGACTAACAGGATGGCTGAGTCCCAAACCGGCCCTAAACACTAGCCCTTCTTTTAAATTAAAGACCGTCCCAAAACCTGTAGTAAGGTAAGTCGAGTGAAAAATTCAGCCCTTAAATAGTGAGTCTATTTCAGGGGCAAATGTCTGATGTCATGTCAACCTAGGCCACAGAGCAACAGCCACGAACATGGGGTGTCACTTTGTTGCTATAGAGATTACAGCTTTCCTTATCCGTTGGAGGGAATAGGCCATCCCATTCCTGTTTATACCCCCTTTCTTCAGTCAAGTTGCCCGCCACAATTGTGAGTGTGACTTCATTGGGAGGAACACTCAATAGTTAAGGGGTAGTGCCTAGGGGGCAGTTTGGGATTCAGCCTAACTTAGAAAGAACTTAAATAATACAAAAAGGAAATGAGACTAGGGCCCAACCCTCCATTGTGCGTTCCCACAGAGGTTTCACCACATTAAGGGCTTTCCTAAACCCCGTAGTGAGTATGGAGAGGAGACCGTTCAGCCCTTAAATAATGGATTGTATCAATGCAGGCTGGCTGGAATGGGTGGCAGCGGGTGTAACAAACTAATAGTGGAGGAAACATTGGCATTCAGTAAGGGACTAGAGATATCGTAGGATAATTATAACGTCATCATCTAAAGATATTTGTAAACAATGAATCATACAAAACACAGAGTAACATAAATCAAAGCGTGTCTGATTGACAAACGACCAAAACTGAACAGAACTAAAAATAAAAAGAGCAACCGAACTTGACAGTATCAATTGCTTTGAATGGAGCCAATGTGAAATCTACCCCACATTTTACAGTTTCAGATTTAAAAAACAAGCATAATTTACCTTCCACTTTGGAAACTACATACACATAGCTGCTGCTATGAAATTATTATTATTTTGTTAGAATCCACAATTTCATATTTTAAAGAGGAACTGTAAGAGCATTACATATGTAAATTATGGTTTGTAGAGTCAGCTCTAGTGATTATGTTTAAAATAGTCTTACACATCTTGTAACAGATGACGATGATGCTTAATGGATTCAGGTATTTTAAATTGTAGTGACTATTTCTATGAGTTTAAACTTGGACATTCTTTTCTCAATAGCTCAGACGGACGTTTCGAGGGGACTGTCACTAAGGCAGTTGTTAAGTATGATGGAACCATTTCATGGAATCCACCAGCCAATTACAAGTCAGCCTGCACCATAGATGTCACCTTCTTCCCCTTTGACCTCCAGAACTGCTCCATGAAGTTTGGATCTTGGACCTATGATGGCTCACAGGTGAGTCTTTATAACATTGAATGTGTCCTGAGTGATGATTTCTTACTAATTTCATGGTATTTTGATAGGTGGATGTTCTACTGGACGACTTCCATGTGGACAAGCAGGATTATTTTGACAATGGTGAATGGGAGATAGTGAAAGCCACAGGCAGCCGTGGTCTGAGAACCGATGGCAGCAGTTCCTATCCTACCATCACCTACTTCTTTATCATCCGTAGGCTTCCTCTTTTCTACACCCTCTTTCTCATCATTCCTTGCATTGGACTGTCCTTTCTCACTATCCTCGTCTTCTATTTACCCTCAAACGGAGGTGAAAAGATCTCTCTATGTACCTCCGTGCTGGTGTCACTCACAGTCTTCCTCTTGGTCATTGAAGAGATCATCCCTTCCTCTTCCAAGGCAATCCCTCTTATTGGGGAATACCTGGTCTTCACCATGATCTTTGTCACACTCTCAATCGTCATCACCGTCTTTGCCATCAACATCCACCATCGCTCCTCATCCACACATCATGGCATGGCACCGTGGGTGAGAAGGATTTTCCTACACCGACTGCCAAAGCTGCTGTGCATGCGCAGCCATGTGGACCGCTATGCTTCACCTGGAGAGCCTGAAACAGGAAGAAATGCGGGACCAGAACAGCTAAATATCCCCACACCTGAGCTCAGCCCTCCTCTGTACACCCATCACAACCTCCAAGCAGCTTTGGAGTCTATTCGCTATATCACCATGCATGTGGTTAAAGAAAACCAGGTCAGAGAGGTAAGTTTTAGTAAATTGCTTTACATCAAAAAAGGCTAATAAATAATAACAGCATGATATTCAGTGAAAGTCCAAATTTTCTTTGTTTTTAGCAATTAAACGCATTTTAAGAGATTACTTCTTTTTTTTCTGTAGGTGGTGCGAGACTGGAAGTTTGCTGCCCAGGTTTTGGATCGAATGTTTCTATGGGCCTTCCTCCTGGTGTCAGTTCTTGGCTCTGCTATCCTTTTCATTCCAGTCATTCACAAATGGGCCAGCATCATCGTCCCTACACATCCTGGCAGTACTCTCTAGAGGCATCCGGTTTATTCCATTGCTGATGAAAGAAAAGCACATTAGCTGTTCTACGACACTATTTGACATTTGAATGACTGAAAGGACCATTTAACAACATTCCTTTGCATTAGATTTTGGAGCCAGAAATAATTCCAACTGGAGATAAATACATGTTGATTTTATAACTTTATTGTACGCTTGTTTCCAGTTTCCAGCTTGACGAGCAACAACAGAAAAAATCAATACAGATACTCCATGACAATTTCTACGGTAAATGAAACCAAAAAACGCAAAAGGGTTTCTAATTTTATTTTTATTTTATTTGGAGGTCGTCTAAATTCTATATCTTTAGATATACATGTGGTTCCTGTTTGGAAAATGATCATAGAGGAAGAACATATCATTTGAGTAAAACATGTCCTTTTTTGCTGCTTTTTTTGTTTTTTATTTTGTTCTTTTTCAGATTCTTTTCCTACAGAATAAGTAACCCTTTGGAACTGTAAAGAAAACATTTTCTTAAGTTAAAACAAGAGCCTTTTTGCAGTTTTCTTGCAAACATTCTTGTCAGGATTTGTAGTTACCAGCAATCTGCTTCTTTTCAGAGCAAATATCCTGAATTCCTGTGATGGGCTGGGTTGCATTTAAAATAACAGAGATGTTTAGACACTGTTCTTGGATGTTTTGCATATATAAAGATTTTCTTATGTTGCCTAGAGTCTTTTTACAGATTACCCATTGCCTTTTTTGTTAGAATTTAACATTCACATCACTCCTTTTACGTAGCTAGGGACAGACTCTTTGCTCTTGGAAGGCTATCAGAAGATTATAGATGAGCTCAGTAACATGTAAAGGAAGATGTTGACACACCAGCATGTGTTGCTATCAAACATAATGTAATCAAGATTATATAATCAAAGTTCAACCTTTCTAAAAAAAAAAAACAATGCTTGGTCCCAATGCTGGGAGGAGCCAGGAGCTTTTAGCAATGCATTTGTTGCCTCTCTGTGGCTACAGATCCAAAGTACAACTACAGGGAACTGCAACACAACATCAGTTTATTGTGTAAGACAGCAGAAACTGAGAGATTTACTTTCTAAAAAGTACAAATATCAATCAGGAATAAAAAGGCAAATTAATTTCTGGAAGAAATGGTGTAAAAAAAATGGGTAAACTAACTTATTCTATTGAGGAAGCTCACTTGAGCTTCTTGTATCTATAATCTGGTATTTTTGGGTATGATTTATATTTCATGACCGTAGCTCAGGGTCAGAACACATACTGACTGGTAAATCACAAACCTGTTCATCCCTCCTGCAAAAGGAGACACAATCTATCCATCTCTCGCTGGTCTCTGCTTTCCTTTTGAACAAAAAATCAAAGATTTTTAACTGACTGTCTGAAGCATAGAGTGGTCCTTAACCTAGAGGGAGCAGACTTTCAGTTTGGGAACCAGGACTTCTGAGTAAATGGAGGTGACTACATACTGAAAATAATTTGATATTATTCCTACTTTAATCACTGCATCTGTCCTGTTCTGATTTTTAGAATCTATATCTACATTTGATTATAATTTGCATTATTCCAATCTGTACAGAGTGAAAAAAACATCCAGTATCAACTAGAAACATGGACTTTTATATTGATAAATACCCCCCCAAGTCCTTCCTTAGGGTTTGATCCGTTTTCATCCTGTGACTTTTGAGGCTTGATAGATTATTCCAAAAGTGATTATGTAATTTTTACTCCTGAACGTTATAGTGAGGATGAGAAATGGTGAGTCAAACACCAAAAAGAGCTCAGGTTGTAATAACAAGGTTTAATTCAAAGCAGGCCTTTTGTACATTGCAGCTTAAACAAAGAGGCCCCTTCTTTGGGGGAAAAGTCCCTCCCTGAAGAAAAGCGGATCTATAATCGTTCCATGCAAGCTGTTCTGGAATTTGGAATTCACTTATGCAGAGTCCAAGATGTTTCACACTTAGAAAATAAGGACCTCATAGGACCAAGTTCAGCAGGTATGTGATTGTTGGTGTAAGATATATATATGTGCACAAAATTTCTTAACAGTTTCAGTATTCTGTGTAATTCTTTTTTTTTTTTTTTCTTCAAGGTTTAAGATGACATCCAGGGGAAATGCCACAGCATATCTTCTCTTGTTATTTGCTGCATTTCTTTTGTGGAGACCTGGCCATGGAGGAAGGATTTTGGCCTTTCCTTTAGAGGGAAGCCACTGGGTGAATATGGAAATTATGGTTCAAGCTCTCCACTCTAAAGGACACTCTATTGATGTAGTTAAAACCAACAAAAGCTGGTATATCAAGGATGACTCTCCGAGCTACAAAAGCATCACAGTCCCAGTTGCAAGAGCCTTTAATCATGATTTCATCAACCCAATCCTGAGGAGGATTTTTGAATTAGAGAGAGGAAAGAGCTCCATCATGAGCTTCATTAGTTTGCAGTTTGAAATGTTTAATGCTATGTCGGACATGCATGGAATGATGTGCAAGATGGCTAGCAGTATGTTGGAAGATAAAAGGTTTATGAATAGTTTAAAGGCAAGGAAGTATGACCTGGTACTGACTGATCCTGCATGGGGAGCAGGTATAATACTAGCTCATGCTCTCAAACTGCCTCTAGTCTATAATGTAAGATGGGTTACCAGTGGGGAGGGCCACTTAGCTCTTGCACCTTCTCCTTTATCTTATATCCCAATGACTGGCTCAGGACTGACAGACAAAATGACTTTCATACAGAGAGTCAAAAATCTCCTTTTCTATGCTATCTGGGAATTTCAGGACACCTTTTTGATCAGTCCCCAGTATCAGGCCGTCTGTGATAAACTATTTGGCCCAGAAGTTAGATACAGAGACTTGTTACGAGGAGCAGACCTGTGGCTCATGAGAGTGGACTTTGTTTTTGAGTTTCCTCGCCCCACCATGCCAAACGTTATCTACATTGGCGGCTTTCAATGTGAACCCCCGAAGCCTCTTCCTGAGAACTTGGAGGAGTTTGTACGGAGCTCTGGAGAGCATGGAGTCATCATCATGTCTCTTGGAACCTTTGTAAGTGAACTTCCTTTAGAAGTGACTAACAAGATCGCTGAAGCCTTTGCTCAGTTACCCCAGAAAGTCATCTGGAGGTATAATGGTATCAAACCTGCCACTTTGGGAAAAAACACTTTACTGCTTGACTGGATGCCTCAAAAAGATCTTTTAGGTCATCCAAAGGTGAAAGTATTTGTCGCTCATGGAGGAACAAATGGAGTCCAAGAGGCCATTTATCATGGAGTACCAGTAGTGGGGTTACCAGTGTTTTATGACCAGTACGACAATTTGGTCCGTCTACAAGAGAGAGGAGCGGCTAAGATCATTACGTTAGCCACTGTGGACAAAGAGGACACATTCCTGAAAGCTGTCAAAGAAGTTCTGACTGAACCCTCTTACAGGATGAATATGCAGAGACTCTCCAGACTGCACAGGGATCAACCAATGAAGCCCATCGATACTGCCCTCTTCTGGATAGAGTTTGTAATGAGACACAAAGGCGCTGCTCACCTGAAAACTGAGTCCTACAAACTACCTTGGTATTCCTATTACTCTGTAGATGTTGTCCTTTTCTTACTGTTTGCAGTTGCATTGATTATGTTTTTAATAGCTAGGGCTTTCAGGTTGATCTTTCCTCTAAAATGCAGGAAAGAGAAAACAAATAAAAGGAAGAAAACATGACATGTTTCAGCTTTGGCCAATGAATTATACATACCTGCAGAGTGGATGTTGGTTTTGTCCAGTTTCTACATTATTTTAAATAGCTATACTCTTTTAAATTGACCATGTAATAACTGTATGTTTATATATTTCAAAAATATCTCTTGTTTTTGTTTTATTAAGTAATTATGTAAGCTACAGGTACATTTCATTACATAAATCATGTTGGAATCTTAATACCCTCTCAATATCAGTGGCGTGTTTTATAAGCTTTTTGTGGGGTTTGTCCAGATCAGGTTTTGTACATTTTATATTATTGCATTTAAATAGCGACAAAAACTGTTTAGTCTTAAAACAAAAACCACCGCAGTAAAAATTTGATGCAAAAGTATTCATACTACTTTACTTTACATTCTGTCATGAAACACCTTTAAACTGCTATGCAATTTAACAGAGTTGTATGCAGTACAATGAGGATTGTTTATAAGTAAGCTGAAATAAAAATAAAATAGAATTAACTGATTTTTTTTTTTCAGAAATATAAATCTCATAAGTGTGGCATGGCTTTGTGTTTTTACATCCTTACTCTGATCATTATAAATAAAAAAAAGTACATCCAACTTTTTTTCTGTAGTCATTTTCAGTAAATATATTCCACATGTGTGTAATTTAACTTTTGGTCTCCTAGACAGATCCAGAAGACGTTCACAGGAGATTTTTGTTACGTACAGTAGGCCAGGTTTCTAGTCTAATCCAACGACCGATCCATCATCCTAAAATGGAAGAATGAGGGTGGATAAGGTCAGGATATAACAGAAAGGCATCTGAGAGATCTAGAATAACTCTGGAGAAGATCCACAAATTAACTGGAAGACTATTAATAGAGCAATAGTTCTGCACATAACACATAACACAAGGCGTGTTTCCATGTATGGAAAAAAAAAATCTGTTAATGATACAGGAGTTGAGAGATGATGCTTTGTGAAAATTATACTATACTATATATATTGTTTTTTTGTTTTTTTACAATAGCATTTTGCTGTTCGTCTGCTCATCTTGACAACCGAACAGACTTACTTTCAGTTGAAAAATCGTATACAACGGACACAGAGACAGAAAGGGGGTGAGAAAGGAAGACAGAATAAGAGAACTCAGGGGAGGGAGAAAGAGATAGAGTCAGGACAGGGTGCATGAAAAGATAAAAGAAAACAACAAAAATAGACATAAGAAGACCTAAGAGAACCAAAGTTATCATTAAAATAAGCTTCAAGAGCAGCAAGTATCCTTTAGAGATCCATGTGTGTCATGACAAAACCTATGGTTATTGAGAGTATTATTCAGTGTTTACAAAGGATTTACAAAGTTTCTTCAGAAGAATACATGCTTAAAAGCAGGTGTTGGGGGTCCTAGACTAGCCCTACAGCGTTCAGGACAAAGAGACGATGTGAGCTCCAGAGATCCAGAGGCACCCAGGAGAGGGGGAGATGAGATTACCTGGGGCCTGACTCCCAGAAATGTGCAATTTCTTAGAGGAACTGCAAGCTGTAAATGATTTGAGGCGGAGGTTCATCAGTATAATGAACATGCAGCAGTGGATTGCAAAAAAGCATATCAATGCATTAGAATCTATTACAATGGCCCATTTTAAGTTGAAGCCTGAATCTAATTGACTTTGTGGTACGGCTGCAAAGCTTACATTTGAACTTTATTAGGAACTACTGTAACATCATGTGTGAAAAAATGTGCAAGAGTGGACAAACCAATTTTCATGCATGGAACACACAGAAGCAATGTTTTATTTTAGCACCACTTTACAGTTTTTAATGTAATTTAAAAGCCTTAGTTGACAAAACATGAACATTTGATGTGAATACTTTTTTTTTTTTACAGTGTCCTGTCTGGCAATGTGGCAATAAGAATAATTGTCTTGATGCCAAAAAGAGCCCAACAGATTTGACTTTCATAAGTGGAACAGTAGGGCTATCGCCACAGTGTTCCGCTTGTTTCATGCATATAAATTGCTTTATAATAATTATGCAGGGAGTTTTACAGATTATATGGACACTGTAATGTAGAACAGAAGAGGAAAAACAGAAAAAAAGGAAAAAAAGATGAAAGAAAGACGAGATAATAGGGAGATAGTGTGAATACTTTTGTTGGGCAGTTTATTTGTCTATCAGGTCAACACTGTCACACTATTTAGGGTTTTCACATAAGCAAAATAAACAAAATGTATCCAGGTGCTGGATTTTTGCAACAGATTCTGGCGTAGACCTTCAACGTCACTTTTTGCTTTCATCTTCAGAGAGAGACATCTTGTTTGTCACACATGCATAACTTGGGCCTGAAGGAGGATCATCTGTGGTTAAAAAAAAAAAAAAAAAGCGAGCAGTCAGAACCTTTTCTATGCTCACTTCTTTTTTTAACACTTTTGCATTTGTGCTTTTTTCCGAGATACACTTAGCACCCAAGAGGAAATAACAATGTGACATAAAAGTTTTTTTTAATCACCCCCTGGGGGCAATTTATTCATGTCTTTGAAGGTCTTACATTTCACATAAGTGATATAAACCCAACACCAACCTGTAGGGAGTTTATCTTTTTTTTATTTTGTTTTATCAAATAATAAACTTTCACTCAGTTTCAGCATGATATACTGCAAAGGTTTGTAAATTTGTTTTAAAAGTGTAGATTAAGTAGATTAAGGGTTGTTGTATGACCATGTCTTTTGTGACTGTAAAAGTATTTTTATTTGTAATGTCATTTCATGAAGCACTTTGTGATCACTGTCTGTGAAAGGTGCTATATAAATAAACTTTACTTACTTATTTACATATTGATAATGTCCTACCTGGAACGTGGTAAATTCTTTCACAAGAGGAGTAGATTTCATTCCCAGCAGCCTGAACCTCACTCTGATTCCTGATGAAGACATTTATTCAGGTTTAAATACAGAAACTGTTTTATATTTCTGGAAAAAAAAAACAACACATGGCAGTTTCTAACTTAAAGTTCATTTCCTTTTAACAGTTTCACTTTTTGTCACTGTACAAACTCGAACCCAACTGAAACTTTAAAGGGGACGAACAAAAATGTCATTTTTGTTGCAAAAAAGGACACAAAACGATTTTTTATGAAGCTGTCTTGGTTTATACGTTTTCAGAATAACGATTAGATGGAGTTTCAGCAGTCTCTACTGTACTGTGACTTTTTATTTGGGTTTTCTTTTCAACATAACTTAAAATTAGTTTATTTGAATTAGACTTGGATTTTAAATCATTCTGACCCATGGATCCGTGCATTTAGAAGTAAAAGCTCTACTCTTATCAGTTTTCTATCAAGATTAAACTGCATTTAGCTCAAAGTTTCTTATCACTGTGAAGCTTTCCATAGTTACAAAAGATACGTCTCACTATTCTCGTGCGGTTTATGGAAAACTCCAAATGCGCCAGATCCTCTTTTGACATTAGTTTCTTTCTTACACTTCTTTATAAAAGGTCATAATTATGGACATTGTCCGTCGATGTCTTGGTAGGTTTGCAGTTTTACCACATACAGATAATAGACTGAGCAGTCTCTGAAACATTCAACCTTCAAAACCTTTTCCTCACTCTAACTTCTCCCTAACTGGCCTTTCTGCTTAGTTGTGGTCTTTTTAATGCTGCATCTTTTACTAATGTTCTCTGGTTAAACCTCTGAGGCTTTTATAGAACAATTGCAATCATCCGGAGAATTAGCTATGCATGCTACTCTGAACTATAAATGCTAAATTGCAACATCACAAGGCTGCAAGCTTTGACTATCTTAGGGGTATCAGGGTAAAAAGGGTAGCATATCCCTGCATGCCACACATGTTGATAAGGAATTTAATTTAATATTGAAAACATGCTAACCTCAGAGCTTGTAGAGATAGATGTGCATACTTACTGTTCTTCATTCTCCACGCTGAAAGAGTCATCTTCCCCATCTGCTTAAAAGGTTTTTGTTTAATGGATACAAGCATCGTTAAGCTATTTGTTATCCATATCAATTTATCTTTATCTTGTTTCTTTTAGAGAAATATTTATGCATGAAAGAACTGTTGAAATCAGTTAGACAGCATCACAGTAGATAGGACTTTCTACTCAGCATTTTAAAGTTTGAAATAAAGAGAAAATCATATATTTTCCCCTCTTCTATATTAAAATAGACATGTAATTTAAAAAAGAGGGGAAATATTTACACTTTCTAAATCATACGCTACTTTAAATATGCATTTTCTAAAGCATCTCTATATGGTGATTTAATTACCTTCATGGGGTTCATCATTCATTGGCTCCAATTTTTCTGTGTTCTGCTCCTCACGATCAGAGCTGACAATCCTAAAGAAAGAACTTTTGTCTATTATATCTTTTTAAAATTATGTTTGAGTTCCTCTTAATATCTTCTTCCAATAGGGGGTATAACTAATCCTAAGCTTACCATGGCGTAAATGAAGCTTTGAAGCTGGTTTTGTAATAGATCCATCGCAGAAAGAGACCAAAAAGAACTATAAAGACTATTAATCCACAAGACAAAACTCCCCAGGAGATGGATTCCTCTGAAACATAAATCACATTTTATGATGTGAGATGTTATAAGGTGAAATAACTTCTGAAAATAAAGAATATGAGCTGTATAATCCCACCTTTGACAGCCAGAAACACGTCATTCATTCCCTGTAGCTCCTTCCATTTTGTCTGATAGCATTTAGATGGCAGTAAGAGGCAGCTGTAATGACCTGAATCCCTCCCGACTGCACCTTCAATGACGAAATAGGCCTCCATCCGAGAAACATCAAATACTTGCAACTGAAGGAACGTTTTATTCTTCTTGAGGGAGCAGTAGATGAATTGACAGTTACTGATGGTGTGCAGGGTTCTAGAAAAGCTGCATTTAAACTCAATACGGTTTCCCTCATGAACCGAGGCGGGCCCAGCTACAGAAAGGACTGCAGGGATGAAATGGGCTGCAAAGAAGTGAGAAAACATCAGCATAGAGAACCCCCCCAAAGTTGTGCGATAAATATATAAATAAACTCTTACCTATAACTAGAATCTCAACATAATCCTGTCCCATTCCAGCTACTGCAGTAAGGTTGTGACTTTCAGTTGAATAAAAGCAGCTGTAATTTCCGCTGTGATCAAGACTAACATTAGATATTTTAAAGGTAACATCATTCAAATTTTGCTTCATTGTCATTTTCAGAAATCCTTTCCCATTTTTCAGTAAATATGCAAAATCAGAGGGTTTAGCCTTTTGCCCATAAATGCTGCAGGTTACATAAAGATCACTGCCCTCGCTTATAGTTCTCTGCCGGACCAGGATCTTTAAAGGGAAAAAATCTACACAAAAGAAACAGACAAATGTTGCATTATTTTCTCTTAAAATTCAGCTAATAAATACCGAATCAACTGGTTCTCACCATTGGTTTGGCCAGGTACCAGAATTAGGAAAATGCCTTGAAGACAAAAAAGTGTCGAATCACATTAATTTTGAATCTGCAAACATAATTGAAACATAGATTCTGTTTTGGTTTGCTGTCAGTTTACTTACAGAAAACAGCAGGTATGATAATCATCTTCAGCAGCGATCTGACTCTCTCACACGGCTTCTGTTCGGACACTTTCCTACTCCCCCAGATCAAGTGGGCAGAAACTGTACAACAACACTTCCTGGTTCTTCTTCTGTCTTTTATATTTCAGTGCTTTTTTCCAATAAAGAAAGTCATGAAACACATGATTTATAAAAGAAAGCACAACTCCCAACACAATCATTGCATTAAAGATGCAGAGTCTTCCCTTACTTATCAAGTTTATGCTCTGCACTAACTAAAAAGGCTGCAACATTAAATGGTTAAAGCTACAGGGGCCTTTAATATCACCATGATTGTGTGACAACCCGACAGCTTATTTTCAAAGTGTTGCATATATTTGTGTTTATTAATACTTTCTAAAATCACATTTTTGCTGCAGTTCTTATAGACTTAAACGGTTCTCAAACTTGCTGGGGTGAATCTGTGAACCTCTATTTCCAGTCCTGCCATCCATAGATTCTCCATTAGACTTAGCCCTGGACTTTGACTGGGCAGCTTGGACATAAACATGAGCTTTGATCTAAATAATCCACCGAGACCCTCACTGTTTTGTTCACTGTTGCCGTGAGAACGTTTTTTTCAGGCCAGAGGAGCATGCACTCTTAATTTTCTGCCAGAAATAGTGTTTGGCTGGTAGGTCAAAGAGCAGAATATATTTTCCCTTATATGACTTGTGACAAACTGTAATATGGACTTTTATGCTGTTGTGTTTTTCTTTCAAAAAAACATGTCCCTCTTGCCGCTCTTCCATAAATGCATGATTTTGGAGAATCGAACTAATAGGAGGCCGAGTTTTCCTCATAGTTACCTTAGATTGTCTTGCCTGATACCCTGTGGTCCCTCTTTGCTCGGCCTGTCAGTTAAGGTGAATAGTTCTTTTCCCCTGGATTCTGTTTAGAAATATAAGGGTAAAAAGGCCTGGACACATAAAGTAAACACACCCACATATTTTTATTTGTAAAACATGTGACTTAACAATTCTGCACAATTTTATGTCTGTCTGTCACATAAAATCTCATTAGAATTTTAATTTAGGTTACTGGTTGCCCTATTTTGACCATTATCTTGATTCATATCTTTAGCTCTAAGCTTTTTTTAGGCAACATTTATGAGGGTAACGAGAAACCCATTCTAACAGTGTCTTTACGGGATCGCCCACAGAGCAGCTATACAAGCACTGAGAGGATTTGAATCTGAACTGACTGAGTCAAGCTTGTCTCTCCCATGTTTCGTCACACAGTGGCCACACAAACACACTTACCTACAAAAACAGCCACCCACATGCACAAACAGCAAGATAATCAGTGACCACAAACATGACTGTCACACGTAACTTTGAAATTCTTTTGTAGTAGCAGAACAGGAAACAAAGCTCATCATAATTTCAAAAGAAAACCCTTAGACCCATTGGGTTACTCTGTCAAGAGTTCAAAGATTAAAATAATTAGCAGATAAAAACCACCATCATCTGATTTACTCCTTTATTCATTTTAGATATAAAATTATTTTAAAAAATGCTGCAAAAAAATCTAAACTTTCATTTTCAAAGAAGATTTATTTACCATATCATTTTAAATAATCAGTTTTTAAATTGTGGGTTTACTTGTAAGAAGTTTCTGTAATGAAACGTTACCATTCCGACCAACCAAGACAGTGCCAATAGGTAAAACCTGCAATAACACAATATGGCCACATGATGTCGCTCTTTGAAATGGTTTATATCATTACTTGGATTCTCATGAAGCCATTTCATCCCTGTCAGAATGAAAATATTTGAGTTTTTAATTCTTATTTTTTCGCTTTTTAAAACAAACGGTTTGTTTTTCGTAGCCTTGTGTCATCTCAATGGATTTAAAAAGCGTTGGAGAAGTTTCTACTTGCTCAATATTAACCACAGATTTATTAAAATTTGTTATTTTAGGCCTATGTTTCAAAACAAAAATATTTAATGGAGTAAATAAAAACTAATATTTTGACAAACTTTTATACAAACAAGTAAAAATCAATTATCTGACTAGTTAAGCTCTTACAGTAATATGTTAAATATGATCCCTGTTTTATCAGTAAGATTATGGCAAGATAAAGCAAAGAAAGAACGTTTACAATATTCACTGATGATTATTTATTTATCTTCTTTCATCTTTTTGTTACATCCTATTTTCTAAAATGGATTTTCCGGCAGTTTTGGTCCAGAGTGCCACCATATAAAGGCAGTAAAAAGAAAGGTTATCTGTTAGTTTTACCCATTATAATCCTTCCTTTCTCTCTTTGTGTGTCAGATAATCCCCCAACAAAAAGATCTATATCAAAATATATAGAAGAAGGAAGGAGTAGGCGACCCACATACAGATGTTTCACTCTTTGATGCAGTCATCCCAGTTTTATAGTCCCTGTCCTGTGACTTTTGTCACGTCTTCGCCATCCCTTTCAACCATATTTTCTGTCTCAAAATAATAAATATAGCTATATACCAGGAGTAGCTAAAAAGTTTGAAGTCACTGTAGGAATCAGGGTTAGAAAGGAGGGCTACAGTTGATTTAGAGTCTAAATCAACTGTAGCCCTCCTTTCTAACCCTGCCTAAATTTTAGGCGATTCTGGATTAGATTTTAGAAGCTTTTTCTCCAAATCTTAAATTTGAAAAACAGTTTCTTCACTCTATAGGGAGGGAGGTATACCGCTGAGGGAACCTTTTGATGGAAACCGTTTGCATATATACAAAATATTAACCTATCAGAGTTTAAAACTATTGAAGAATAAATGCTGATGATTTTAAAAAATGCAGAAAATAAAGACCATAACGATAAACATCTTTTAAAAATTACAATATATATATTTTTAAAGCAAAATAATAATACTTTACTTGCTATAAAATAAAGATACTTTTTTCAAAGAAAGAAGGAGTATAAAGTTAAAAGAGGAACTAAACTGTAAAGATGCTGTGTGTGAGAACATCTTAAAAATAGTGGGCATTTTCATTCTCATGAATAAAAAGAGTTTAAATAATTTTTTTTATTAGATAAATTAAAAAGTAAAAACAAATAATTTTAGAAGAGTAAACAATATACTTTATTTGAATAAAAAAGAAATAGATGTAAATTAACGCTAAAAAGTAATGGATTTGCAAAATATATAGTATATATATAGTTAATTGATTAGGTTATTTGCTTTTTTTTTTTGTTTTGCATTAAGAAAACTTGTTTTAGTTTTATTTATTATCACAATACCAAAAGAAATTGTTTAAACAGTTAAAAAACAATATCTGACATTAATTTAAAGCGAAAGGAGAATAAAAACATACTGTTTATCTCTACCTACTCCTTTTAAACACGGAAGAACAAAATTTAATATGATAAGATGTTACTTAATTTACATCACGCAGATGTTTAAAATATACTTTCACCAAAATGCTAAACCATTTGACTCTATGATGGCCAATTTCATTTAAAACAACATAAATGAACATTTATTTGACCTTAAATAGCTCCTTAAAGCTATTTAAGATAGAATCTGTTCACCCAGTCAAATAAATTCAATAAATTAATGTTTTTACTGTTTAAAGCAAAACATTATACATTTAAAAACATTTCCCTTAAAAAGAGTGAGATTATGCAGTGTGTGAATATTTACAACATTATTCTGGTTTAACTCCATGTAGAACATAACAGCTAAACAGTCAGCATTACTCTTCCTTGATATTTATTAACATATGTGGTTGGTTAACATTTACATTTTATGATTTCATCATCAGATTTCTGTGAGATTAGAGGGCAGCTTGAAGAAAATGAAACCAGAATAGTGTGTCACAGATTTATTAGATTTATTATATAATCAAGACAATGTCAAACAAATAGAATAGTAAACACAAAATCCTATGCATTTTCTCTCTTCGACTTTGCGCCTTTTTTTTTTTTTTTTCACCTTTCAAATAGAAGCCACAGTCTCATATGTATGGGTTAATAGTTTTTTTTAAATTCAATCAAATATCATCCCCGAGTAATAGAGGCTGGAGGAAGAGGCCAGCTGTCCCCAGGATACAGACAAGGACAAAAACCCAGAGAAAGATCCTATCGATAACCATGGCAACATACTTCCAGTCATCCTGAACCTGTGGGACCACAGCAACAAAAATGGTTATTGTTTTATTTTCAAGAGTGTTTTATGATAGATTTTTTTCATGCAATACGAACTTCTTACCTCTTTCGCTTCATTCTGTAGTCTCATGTTCTCTGCTATGTATTTAACACTTTCAATTGCCTCTCTGACTTCAGGAGACAGAGGCAAAACTGACAAAGCTCCTCCATCCAGAGACTCTGAACTGGAGCAATGACTGTCTTGTCTGGTCCCAACACCAGTGTTCCCGGTCAGCGCCCCAAGGCTTCCCAGTCCACCACCCCCACCCACTGAGTCTGACGGCAGTCTGCCACATCTCTTCTGCCAGCAACAGTTACAGCGGCCTTCACAACACAGGACACCAGAACCAGCACATTTGTCTTCGCTCAGGTTGTTCATGTCAGAGAGCTCCGTGTTGTTAAAAAGCCGCTGGCGGTTCGTCAAGCTGGACACCACACTGGATGCCAAAGCCTGGGGCTTATGTTGCTTTTGCAGGGTGCTGGAAGAGTGAACAGTGCAGGATCTCAGATGCATTGTCTCGACACTGCCAGCCACTGTCACCTTCTGCGAGTCCCTATCCGGCCTGGTCATAAACATCACTCGGGGCAGAAGACCCAGAAACACGCGACGCACCCAACAGGGCATAGTGTGAGTCTTAGGCGTGCGGTAGTGGACATTCAAGACAAAAACGGTGATGACAATGGAGAGGGTGATGAATATCATGGTGAAGAGGAGGTACTCGCCAATTAGAGGTATGACAAGTGAGGTGGAGGGAATGGTTTCTGTTATGACGAGGAGGAAGACAGTCAAAGAAAGCAGGACGGAGATGCACAATGTGACTTTCTCACCACAGTCGGATGGCAGGTAGAAGACAAGTACAGTTAGGAAGGAGATGAGGAGGCATGGGATTATCATGTTGATGGTGTAGAAAAGAGGCAAGCGGCGGATGTACAAAGAGTAAGTGATATCGGTGTAGATCTCCTCGCAGCAGTTGTACTTGATGTCGTGCTTGTAGCCAGGCGCGTCAATAATTATCCACTCGCCTGTCTCCCAGAAGTCCTTGAGATTGATAGTTGAACCAATCAGTACCAAGTCAATCTTGGCCTTGTCGTAAGTCCAGGAACCAAACTTCATGGTGCAGTTTTGGTAGTCGAAGGGGAAATATGTGACATCGATTTTGCAGGAGCTTTTAAATATAGCCGGAGGGATCCAGGTGACGTCACCGTTGTAGCGAAGCAGAGCCTTTGTTTTATCGTCTACCTGGAAATCTCCAACTGCACTGTGAACAACATAAGAGTAAAACTGATGAAAATGGGCAATGCTGGTTAAATACAACTAATAATTAATGATTTGGTGATTTGGAAGAGGCTTATGCACAGAAGGGAAAATAATCAACTTAAATGATTTGTTAGTAAAATAAATTTCAATGTTATTGTTGACATTAAATCCAAAATGGATGTCCTTAACACACAAGTAATGCAAAAAAAAAAAAAAAAAAAAAAAGCTGTCATATGTGGATGCACTGTATATACTGTATATATATCCCGTCCACCTTTTCTTCCTTTGGAGCTGATTTAACGAGTAAATTTCTCCACTGTGAGATAATTACAATCAATCAATCAATCAATCAATCAATCAATCAATCAATCAATCAATCAGTCAGTGCACACATGTAAATCCTTTAAAAACCAAAAAAGAAGGAATGACAAGTAATGGGTATCAAACACATAAAAAAAGAAGGTTTAAAAGGCATAAATAGCCAAGAAATGTGCTGAAATCTGCCACTATTTAGAAAGCAGTCCTAGTCATTATCAGTGCAAGATAGATATTGTGTTGTTTAATCCTAATTGCTGATTTATAAAACCATTACGTCTCACAGAGTATTCCCTAATAGTCACAAGCAAATGGTCCTCTGCAGACCTTTGAAACATTGTGGCATATATAAAATCATTTTTCTTTTATTTTTTTTACCTCTTCTTAATCCTGTTTTCCCTGTGAGCATTTTCAAGATTTCAAACTATTTGTGTAAAAGAACAACAACAGGCGTCATTTTAAAATTATTACCCAAAAAAATGCTTTAATATAAAAAAAAAAAAATATATATATATATTATAGTGAGAGTGTTTAACACTTATCCCCTGTCTTCCCAATATCCTTCATTTGGATTTATTTGTATGTGTGGATCACTTTGCTATTGGTTGGATATTCTGGTGTGAGAGAATACATTCATATAAAGTTGCCTTGTTCAATACTTGTTTAGCAAACTGTGGTTTGCTAAAGATGCACCAAAATAAATATAAAAATAAATGTCAACTTACTTGTTGTAGAGAACAATGTCCGGCTTCCAAATTTTTTTTGATGGAACTCGTATAAACTCTACTCCACCAAACTCTTTAGGATCCCATTTGAGTTTATAGTCATTCCAAATCTGACAAAAGGAAACAATTATTAATACACAACACAAGCAACATCATAATGACATTAAAAACACCTGGAACATCTTTAAATAAAATCTGAAATTTTTGTTTACATCCAGTAACTTTAGTTAATCCAATTAAACTTGATGCAACATCGAAGCATCTGATGGGTTTGAACCAAAAGCCATCATCTTTCTGCAGATGGTTCTTCACAGTAATTGGCAGCAGGGGAAATCAAGAGTCAGACTCTGCTTTATTGGACAAATAGGGTAAAACACAATAATATAAACTGCATGTATTCAAGGGGGATCACTTGAAATCATCC